CATAAAAACCATGTTGTCTCCTTTACATTCATTCATGGATCAGGATTTACATTTGCCCGCATAGAGGCAGCCGGGATCAACAGTGAGCGCACAGCGGCTGAGGAGCATTCAGCCGGCGGCTCCATTCAGCCGACGCTCCTCTGTGCTGACAGCACGTCAAATCCTCTCCAACCACAACCAGTGTGTCAGCATTCGTTCAGATTTATCCCGAATGTATAGCTTTTGCTTTATAGATTTTCCTTTTTAACGATGCTATTTTTTTCTTTCCAGGCTGCTCCATCCTTCAGGGTTTTCTTGTGCAAAAATTTATGAGATTGGGACAAAATGCAAATGTGGCTCGTTACGTTCTTCCTCTGCCGCTTTAATGCGTTTGATGTATAGTGCCACACACCTATATATTTATACATCATATGAAATATATTTGGATTCAGATTCAATTCAGATTGAAGCATTTAAACTGTTATTTTCAAATATTTTATGCTTTACTTCAACTATTCCAAAACCAGCAAGCCACTGCATCAGGAGTAGGTTTGCACCGCATCATCGTTAAGTGATTATATAATATTTTTATTTCCCACCCAGAATTCTTGTTTGTTGTTCTTCTGTGTCTGTATTCTTATGGTTGAAATGCACTTATTGTAAGTCGCTTTGATAAAAACAACATCTAAATGACATCCAATGTAATTAAAGCCAGAAAAACAAGATATAAAAAGGCAAAAATGATATGAAGCGATGTGTTTTTATTTTCTTGGTAATCAGTGAACCGAAGCAACATTTTTATCTCCAACCGATATCTAATTCTAGGCCATCCGGCCAAAAAAACCCAATTTACCAGCTTAATGGATTGTCAATCTGGGCTCCAAACACAGAAAGGACAATGTTACGTTTCCACCTCAGTTGGAGCTCTTTGGAGGTGGGGAACGTAAACGCCTGTGCTTGCGCACCCATTGTAACCAGCGGTGGACGGTGAAGTGGTGTGGGGTGCAGCCGACCAAAAATAAAGAGGCATGACACCCGAAACACACTTTTGGTCCTTGTGGGACATTTAGTACTTTAGTCAGAACACAAAAAAGAACACACACACACAACCAAAGAAGGGAGGAGTGTGTGTAACAAAGATTTAACTACGTGATGCAAATGTACACCCGTGGGCAGAACTACCTACCCCTTCTCCAGAACTCAGGTAGAGCACAACGGGTTCTCACCCGACCGGATTCAAAACAAAGTCTTTGACAGGCCATACAAAACACAAGGCCTCTCTCTCCTTTCTTTCTTTCTTTTTTATTTTTTCTTTCCTCTCTACAACAACCAGGCTGGTTTATATAGGCCACCAGCTCATTACTCCCCAGGTCTTCACCGGCCACACCTCCTCGCCAACAGCCAACCAGCACCGCACACCTGTGAACCGAGAAACAAGCACCCAACCCCACTCACACAGTTAAAGGCACAGAACAAAACATCATGTAACAGACAAGTATACACGTTACACATTACTGTAAAATTACATGTTTTACTTATTAACTAGATAACCGACACTATCTGAACAATTAAGCAGTCTATAACACCAAACTGATCAAAAATGATAGGTACAAGCTAATAATAAGATTATATGTATATATATATATATACATATGCTATTTCATTGAACAAGCAACGAAACTCCCTCTTTCCTCCACAGTTCAGTCCTCTCTCCTCTCCCGAGGACCGCTCCAGCGATGCCCGTGGGGGTTCCAGGGGCCCTCCTCCTCCTTGTGGCGCTTTGAAGCGGGGGTGGGGGGGAAAACGGGACCTCCTGGCCCTCCCAGCCTCCCCTTCGCTGCTTAAGCAGCTGTTCGTGCCGGTGCTTAATGTGTGCGCTTACATAAACCGCAAGGCCTTATATTCTCCAATACGTTCCACTAAGATCCTCCTATGAAACTCAGGAGGAGGAATTGACTAAACCACTCCTGAGTCGCAAGGGGCGGATAAGTCGCGAGGGGGAGGAGTTTACTAAACCACGCCCTTCGCTGGGCCATCAAGGGGCGGGCCGACAAGGGGCGGGCCTCGATGGGCCAAAAAAGGGCGGGCTTCGATGGGCCGACAAGGGGCGGGCCTCAATGGGCCGACAAGGGGCGGGCCTCGATAGGCCTCGATAGGCGGGCCTTGATGGGCCATCAAGGGGCGGGCCGACAAGGGGCGGTCCTCGATGGGCCGACAAGGGGCGGGCGTCAATGGGCCGACAAGGGGCGGGCGGCAATGGGCCGACAAGGGGCGGGCGTCGATGGGCCGACAAGGGGCGGGCCTCGATGGGCCGACAAGGGGCGGATAAGTCGCGAGGGCGAGGAGTTTACTAAACCACGCCCTTCGCTGGGCCATCGAGGGGCGGGCCGACAAGGGGCGGATAAGTCGCGAGGGCGAGGAGTTTACTAAACCACGCCCTTCGCTGGGCCATCGAGGGGCGGGCCGACAAGGGGCGGGCCTCGATGGGCCATCAAGGGGCGGGCCGACAAGGGGCGGTCCTCGATGGGCCGACAAGGGGCGGGCGTCGATGGGCCGACAAGGGGCGGGCCTCGATGGGCCGACAAGGGGCGGGCCTCGATGGGCCGACAAGGGGCGGGCGGCAATGGGCCGACAAGGGGCGGGCGTCAATGGGCCGACAAGGGGCGGGCATCAATGGGCCGACAAGGGGCGGGCGGCAATGGGCCGACAAGGGGCGGGCCTCGATGGGCCGACAAGGGGCGGGCGGCAATGGGCCGACAAGGGGCGGGTGTCAATGGGCCGACAAGGGGCGGGCGTCAATGGGCCGACAAGGGGCGGGCCTCGATGGGCTGACAAGGGGCGGGCCTTGTGCTCCTTGCCACACTATAAATTGAGCCATGGGATTTATTCTCAGTCAATTCACAACAGGTCTAGGTCCAGGAGAGAACACTCTGCAGGGCACAACAGGTACCAGACCTACCATGCTGCGCCGCCTCCCCAACAGAACTCTCCGCAGGGGTACCGGCGGCGGTGGCTGCCCCGCCAAAAGGGGGCTGCCCAGACCGCCGTGGCGGTTATGGGCAGCATCAAGAGATTTTTGTTGAATGTGGGGGTCTTGAGTAGGCACTTCTCTTTCCCCTTCCTCTTTGGAATCAACATGGAGGGCCAGCTCATGGGCACCCTGATGGGCCTCCAGAACGTCTTCACTCGAAATGACGAGGTGCGGCAGAGGGCCATGGAGACCAAGAGCCACCAGGCCCCCTGCTCTCTGGGGGTTGTGAGGAGGCCGAGCGGACCAACCCCTTTTGCAATGGCACATTGGTGGTGTTCCTGCAGTTTGGGTGCCTCCTCCCTCACCACCGGGCAGACGGTGACGGTCTACGCCGCTGTGGCCGAGGTCATCAGCCTCCGGAGGTATTCCGGCGACAGGCCGAGGGAGGGCGCCAGAGTGCTGTTTCCAAACTGCTGCCGGAGAAGAGCAGGGCCGCCTGAGCTCCCTGTGCAGGATGTGCAGCTCGGACTACTAAAACATAGTCAACCACATCAAGGATGACCTCATGGACGTCACCCTCAAAATGCTCTACTGGGTGAATGTGATCCAAACAGTAGCCAAGCCCACGCCTCGCAGGAGGTCCAACAGCTCCAGCCTCTCTTTTTCGTTATACTTTCCAAGGTGGAGGTGGCCCCAGGGGCGACGGCATTGTCGGAGATGGACCCAGATCCGGCCGTCGGCCGATCCACAAAGCCCCTGGGCTGGGCTACCTGAGGCCATGCAGGTCAGCGCGAGGATCTCCCCCTCGAGGTCGACGACCCCCTCGAGCATCGGCTTAGTGCCCTAACCCGCCTCTCTCCGGAATACCTGGCGTAGAGGGTCATCGTCTGCCCGGTGGTGAGGGAGGAGGCACCCAAACTGCAGGAACACCACCACCAACGTGCCATTGCAAAAGGGGTTGGTCCGCACGGCCCTCCTCACAACCCCCAGAGAGGAGGGGGCCTGGTGGCTCTTGGTCTCCATGGCCCTCTGCCGCACCTCGTCATTTCGAGTGAAGACGTTCTGGAGGCCCGTCAGGGTGCCCATGAGCTGGCCCTCCATGTTGATTCTAAAGAGGAAGGGAAAGAGAAGTGCCTACTCGAGACCCCCATATTCGACAAAAATCTCTTGATGCTGCCTACGACCGCCACGGCAGTCTGTGCAGCCCGCACTTCGACCAGCGCCCACAGGTCGTGGGGCCTTTGCTTACCCCCTGCTGAGACCCCTCAGCATGATTGGTCTGGTACCTGTACCCTGCAGAGTGTTCTCTCCAGGACCAAGACATGTTGTGAACTGACTGAGAATAAATACCATGTCTCTACTTGTAGTGTGCAGCAAAGTGCATGAGGGGGAAAAAAAATAAATTGTTTTGAAATTATCAAAAAACTCTTGTTTCTCTGCTCATGTGATTTACATGTGCTACTGTAATACATTTGAAGTATAACACATAATTTAATATATTTGGATTTTTATTGAATCACTTCAATTGCTATTTTCAAATATGTTATGTTTTAGTTCCAGGTTTTGTGAATTAATGCCCAATTTTATGTTTTGAATATTTTTTTATAACAATTGTGACATTTTTATTTCGCAAGCATCTAAATGTTAGTTGCTCTCACCTGTCCATGAACATTTTCTGTTTGAATTCCTCGGTGTAATGGTTTAATGCGTTCAGAGGGCTCATCAGGGCTTCTTATTAAATCGGTTGAACATGAGTCAGTACGTCTTCAGCTTGTCTTGCTGCACTCGTAATAATACAACCTTTATTTTCGCTGCAGATGAATCAGTGAAAAAGGATGCAAAGTAGGAATACATGCATGAAGCTATTCATCGTGGACATTTGATATATTTGTATTTCCCTCCCAGAATAATAGAATAGAATAATCTCCTGAAAGTTATTTTTCAACAATTATATTTTCGTCAGGGATGGAATCTCAATTAATGTTTTGCTCCATGACAGTGCACTGCACACGGCCCTTTATTCCTCTCAATTAAACATGTCAAAGCCAGAAAAACGAAAGGCAAAAATTTATTCCGTTTAACAGATAGCAATAGACAGCTCATTTATTTCTAAAATCAATTTGTGAAACTTAAATATCTCTTTAATGTGTACGCATTGCATTGATTCAGAAGGGGACATTTGAGTGGAACAAGAAGTGTCTTTTCTTGGATCAAAGTGGAAGCGATCAATCTGTTGTGACACATTTGCAGATTACTAGTCAGAATTCCACATTAAAACCAAGATCATTTCCCCTTTTTTTAAAATTGGCAGCCTTAGAAAAGACAGTGGACCACAAATGGCCTGCAAATACACATGCAGTGGTGTCACCATACCAGCCCGGAGTGAGTCTCCGACTCACAGACCATGAGAGATAAGTGAGATAAATACGCAAGGAGGGACGGACTGTTCAAGATGCTTTTAAAGTTAGCACACCAAAAAGCACAAAGACCCAATGAAACACCCAAGAAGGACAGTCTCTCTCTCTCTCCTAGGACCCCCCCCACCCCTTTCACCCCTAACTTCAAGTATTCCCTCCAAAACTTCCATCACGTCAAGTTCACCCGCCAAGACCTCCAAACCGTCGACCCCCTCTTAGGTTAACAACGTAAGCTATTATATAAGTGCACTCAAAATGCATCTATACATACAAAAATAATAACAATAAGTAGCAGTAATAGTTATAACAATCACTTTACATTTCATTTGACGCACGTTAAAATCACTTTATACCGTGGCATCACCTTCTCCCACCCCCTGAGTGTAATGTTCAAGTTTAACCTTCTGTTGCTACGGAAACGCAAACCGGACCAGCGAACCTTGGTTTGGTTATTTAACGTTAGCAATCATTGGCAACAGCAATGATTAGAAATCGGTATTCTATCGGAATTATGCCTTTCCACAGTCTGTTGTGCTCTGTGTGTGTGTGTTCTGTGTGTGACAGATGCATTATGTACAAGCTGCTCATCGATCATGTGCCTCCGGCCACAGCCCGTTTGCTGGTGCCACACGCCGAAAAGCCTTCACCCTGGAAGATAGTGTTAAGAAACAGACACAATCAGCACACTCCATCACAACACAAATATATATTTTTCTACAGCACTTTTAGCTATTTAGTCACTTTCGCTCACCTCGGCCTCGCAGTTTAGCTGCCTCAGGAGCCAGCAGCAATGCAGCTCCGACATTTGTACAACTTGGGGTCATGGGTGTGGATGTGGTTCCGTACATTCCTCAGTCGGAAGAACGTCTTACTGCAGAGCTGCACAGAGGGTACAACGAAGGGTCAACAGCACGCACACAAACACAGACGTTACAAACACAGCGGCGCGGCCACGGCCTGCAAGTGGCTGGTATTTTCAGGCAAGTGCTATTACGCGCAATAATCCTGTCAATGAAAATTCATGCATTTAAAAATATTGGAACTAGTAATGACTGAACTAGATTATACTACGGGGATATTCAAATAGAAATTAAATAGAAAATAAACAACAACCTTTTGATATAAAGCGCCACGTTTTTATCAGTGAGCCATATCAACATGAAGGTCAGTTATGACACCGCATCAACATTTTTATCTTCAACCGATATGCAATTCTAGGCCATCTGTAGAGGAAAATTGCATTGCAATATAAAAAACAAAATAAAACTTCTCCCATAACCAGAACATTCTAACTATATGCGAGAGAACTGCCATTCTTATGAAAAAGCCCACATCTGAATTGAAATCATTGACCTAACAAATCATATATTTTCAGCAATAATTTATTTAATTTATTGCAGCAATAATGAAATTAGATAAAAAAGCAACGCCATTTGCCAGTCAGCGGAAAATGAAAATGAAATAAACTGCAAATAGTATGACGTTGGCCAATGGCGGCACGTGCACCCAAGGTTACCAAACGCTACTTTACAATCTCAAAATATGCTTACCAGGCACGGCCAGTGCTTCCCCTCAATGTGCCGGAGGCGATGCATGATGAGAGCGTCACAGTCCTTGTAGGAGGCCGAGCACTGCGCACAGGAATGTGTCGCCTTCGGGACTTTGGGCACTTGGCTGCGAGGCCCTCGGAGCTGCTTCAGCCTCGCTCGCTGTACAGCGTCCAGCGAGACACGGCTCCTGCCGCTCGGAGGGGCATTTGCTTGCTGCTGGAGATGCGGGGGGGGGGAATGACACAGGATGAAGTGTTTCCACTCACATTTAGCATACTGTCGTAGACATCAAATGTTAAAGAGGAGCACAGACGATCAATCAAAACTAGCAGATTGTTTAGAATACTGCGGCCCTTAACTACGTTGTTCTTGGATGCTTTATGCTCCCCAAGAAAATTAAAAAACTGCAGTAACCTTCATAAAACACCCCTCCAAATCAATCCAAATCTACCTTCGGCACGGCCCTTGTGGCCTTTGACTCTACAGCTTTGGCCAGTTGAGGAGTGCTGTGTCGGGAGTTCTGCCGGGGTCTCTGGACCTTGCTTTGCCTCGCAATCCTCTCCTTCCCCGCGGGCGGGGCGGTGGGCCCCCGGGCCCTCAGCGCCCTGTGTGGAGACTCCTCTGCTCCGAATCTCTGTCTGATTTGTGACACCGAGCGCGTCAGGCAGATGTCAACGCTCTCCTCCTCTTTCTTCAGCCCCCCCGCGGGCCGACAGAAGCTGAAAAGAAAGCCAGAGTCCAGCAGTTTGATGGGGGGCTTGCTCTGCCGCTTGCCCAGGTCCGGCGAGGGCGGATCGCAGAAGGGTCCGCCAACCGGCACGGGGTCTGCGGGCTCCTCTTTGATGACTTTGTACAGAGGGTTGTTGTAGATGGACGCCGGATGTGGACGCTCTGAAAACTGGAGCCCACTGTTCAAGACCCGGATCCCCTCTTCCCCGGGTTCACACTTCAAGGTCTTGGCCCCCTCCACTGCGGAGCTCCGCGCAAGCTTCGTCTTCGGAGCCCGCCGGCTGCTGTTGTACCGCGGCGTTTTGACGGCGGCGTTACTTTTGGCTTGTGTCCCAGGCGGAGGCGGTGACCTGTGGGGCGCGTTGCCGCGGCGACCGTCGGATGACATAGGGAAGCCTGAGACGGAGTAGTCGACCGGTTCGGATTTGATCCTGACCAGGTTTCTCGCAGGAGTCCTCTTGGCGCTGCGTCGCCGGGGCAGCCGGGCGTTGTGGTGGACACCGTCGCCCTTCCTCACCGACCGCCTGAGTTCCCGCCCGCAGAACGGTTGAAACATGTCGGGCAAGGCGCCATGACTTCGCATGCTCCGGTCACTCGGAGGCACCCTCCTCGGGGTGCCCTTGGGCTTTTTTGCCTTCGCCTGCTCTTTGCCGACTGGAACGGCGGGCTTGGTCTTCCCCGACTTGCTGAGGAGGTGAGTGTTAATGGGGTCACACAGGGGAAGGGTGAGTGACAGAGCCCCGTACGGGAGGACCGGGGAGGCGGGGCGGGGTTTCCGCCGCTTCGTCAGCGAGTAGTTGTTCGCCTTCAGCTTCCTCAATCGTTTCTTCTGTCTCCAGCCGATCAGATCCTCTGGTCGGGGCAGCAGGGCGGTCCTTTGTAACCCGAGGACGCTCATCAGCTCGTACTTCTGCTGCGCTCTCGCGCTGTCCTGCTCGTCCTCTCCGACCTCTACCACTTCCTGCTTTATCCGCACGGGGCTGCACGCGGCGGTCTTTGCGACGCGTGGCAGCCGCGGGACGGAGTTGGCTCTCCGGTTTCGGCGAGGACTCTCCGGTGTGGGCAGCAATCGCTGGAGCTCTTTGGCTGCCCCGGGAGTGGAGCGGAGGAGACGGGAATTGGGTGGGGAGATCCGCGAGTAATTCTGGGACTGCGTGTTGGCTGAGGCGTGTCGAGGCGTGCTGGCTTTCTTGGAGGAGGGCGATTTAAAGTCCATGAGCTTCATCCTGTGCGAGGGACTCAGAGGGAGACCGTTGTGAGCTTTCGGCGTCCGACGCAGGTTTCGCCTCGGGCCTCCTTGGAAAGACTCGTCGGTCGGATCCAGCAGCAAACAGAAGCCGTTGTTCACATTGTCCTCCAACCCAAAGGCCCGTTTCCTTTTGCCCTCCCTGCGTTGGCAGCAACGTTCGCGACATGGGCCGGCACAGTTGTTCTCGCGAGGACGGAGCTTCCTCTCCTGCTCCTTCATGAGAGCGGAGCAGGCCTCCACCGCGGGCCACATGCCCAGGTGGCGGGCCATGGCGATGACTTCGGGTAGGTCCTCCTGGCGAACACACAGGGTGGAGGAGTAGGAGAAATCCAGCAGCGACAGAAGGCTGTCCTCCCTAAAACCTGAGAGAAGAAAGGGAGTCTTTTAATATGTGTTGAACCCAAGTCAAATCAGGGAGTGAGATGGTTGTGTGTAAACAGCAGATAGGAGAGTGGGAGCAAAGTGTAAACACGACATTGGGGGGGGGCAATACAATGACTGCTTTAATCAGGGCCACTGGTTAAAGCCTGCTTCTGTCCTGTCTGATGGCACACATCAGATCAAAAGACGTGTAGATGAAAAGACAGACTGTGGCTGAGAAGTACAGCCAGTCCCCCCCCCGTTTGAGCGACCAGTGTATGAATCATCCACAGCTGTTTCCTAGAGACCATTGATTGAATGAAGATGAGATGATTCAGGATTGCACCTAAATCAAATGCTTGCATTCAGGCAAGGAAAGTTGTTGCATAAATAAAATATGTAGCTGCACATGCCAAATAAACAAGGTTATTATTCGGTTTACACTAACCTGGACACGTAAATCACAGGACATCACAGAAACGTTGTTTCTTATTCTGGTTTAATGCATCATCATCAAGCAATGCAAAGACAGGAAAAAAAATTCTTTCAATCTATCCAAGGACAAATGGCCAACGCTGCCCGGTAGCAGCTTCTCAAACGTAAGGATGTTTAACTTCCTAATAAGAAAAGGTAACTAAATATCTTTGAATGTCACTGAGCAACGTTTTCATCAGTTTGCCGCTCTAATCTTACCGGTGAGATCTATGTCGGCCTTCATGCCGGAGTCCATTTCTGTGAAGATCTCCTGGAAGTGGTCGCTGACGGCCGCCAGGACGGCTCTGTGGGCCGAGTAGGATCGCCCGTTTGTCCGCAGCGTGATGTCGCAGAACAGCCCCGCCTCCCGCTGACCCCTCAGCTTGCTCAGCATGTCGGCGCCGTGCGACACCATCGTCTTCGTAACGCATCCTCTGCCACCCGGCTCCTGAGAGGCAAACGCAGCGAGGCGGATAGAGAGACATCGTTAGAGGAATACAGGACAGGCGAGAAATCCGAGAAAGTGTGAGAGCGCGACTAAGTGAGAATGGAAGCGACAAAACAAAAAGTGTCACATGCAGATAAAAATACGAGAGAATTCTGAAGTTTGAGAGTGTAAGGAGGAGCACAGACTCCTACTACATACCTCTGTTTTCTTAGTGCGCTGGCATTCCAGACAGCCCAGGACAAAATCTCTGATCTGGAAGTACATACCTGTGAAGAAAAAGGTAAACAACAACGGTGCCGTGAACAACAGTGCGAGTACACGTCTTAATCTATGATTGATTCAATCACTGCGGTATGTGGGGGGTTTAAACGCCTCTCCCCCCCGACGATACACAATCATCTCAGTCACCAGTTGGTCAACAACAACAACATACTTTCCTTCAATGACGTCAGACGTAAAAACCGGAAGTTCTTACCTTCCCACCAGTAGTTCTCAGCCACGCATTTATAGGTCTCCTCCAGGGACAGGTGGCTCTGGCCGAGGCGCCGCCGGTGAAAGGTGGAGAGGGCCTCCTGTCTCCGGTCCTCCTCCAAAACCTCCCGGTAGTTGACGAAGCCCCGTTCCAGCTTCTTGCGGTACAACAGCCCGTCTATCGTCTCGAAGTTGGGCGAGCGCCGTGCGGGAGGTCCACGCCCTTCAGAGTTCCCGGCTGTCTCCATCCTTCCGGCCCGGTCTCCATCAGTCCACGGTTCGGACGGACAAAACGTCTCCGCGCTCGCGTAACTGGCACCGACGTGAGTGCAGATACCGGCCATTATTATTATTATTACTTTATATTTAACGTTAACTGATTTAAACTTTTATCCACTTTCCCCCCCAAAGGGAGGGGGGGTCACAGCGGTGTGGGCCGCGAGGGCGAAACTTCACCGGCCGACCTGATACCGGTGACAGCAGACGCACCGACCTAACAACTCCGGGTAGCCGGGCGGGGGGCTGCAAACGGGCTCAAACGAACCGCGACGTCTCTCATTACGGCTCACAAAGGCTAGCTTTGCCCACGCGACGCTAACGCAGACGGCGCCCAGCAACTGTCAGTGAGAGCATCGCTTCTCACTGCCCCAACGGCCGTGACTAACGTCTGTTAAATAAAAAAAATAAAATACGGCTGCACTTTTTTTTTTAGCATTTGGGTCGTATTTTGTTTAAAAAAAAAAAAAGAAATCGCGCGGGTTCTTACGCGACGCAGCATCAACAGACGCGTTAAACTGTCTGACGTTGAGATACCGAAAGCATCGCGCCAACCAAACGCCGAGGGACGTTACGGTAAAGTCAACCGGTTTTCACGGAGACCACGCAAAACGGGTTCACCCCAAACCCCGCGCGCCGACAGCTCGTCTTCCATCTATTCCAGGGGTCGGGAGTGGCCTCCGGGCGCTGGGTGACGGCGCGCAGCTTCACCTCCGGCGTTAACTTGAGATTTCTTTTCGACAACTCGAGTCGGAAGCAGCATGATGACGCAGCTACGGGCTCGGCATCGCCACTTGAACGACCCGAAACGCGAGGCTTCGCCTCGTCGATAAGCCCGAAATGTTGCAAATCACCACCGGGTTCCCGGTAAAAAGCGAGACAACAAGCTCCGTGTAGACATCCGACACCCTTGTAGTCGCCTTAGGTCGCCGTAAAGACAGTCCGGCGGTTAAATTTGATCCAATTTCTAAAGTCGTAACCTTCTGTTTGTTGCTAATCAGCAGCCTAACCGAGACGAGTCCTCCCCGCCTTCACACAAAGGCCATTAGCAGAAGCTTTAAAGAGATCCTACCAGACGATGCGTGATTGGCTGACAGAGCTGCCACTCAAGTTAGTGTTCTTCCCGTTGTAGCAGGGTAGGTTGTTCGCACACGCCAGTGAAGTAGTGTTGCTTCACTTGTCTGCAGTCAAGATCAATATGATCAATGTTCTTTCCTCAATTATGAAACGGATATTCCTAAATTAGGTTAAGCCGGTTTTTATCTGCCTAAAAGGACCTGACGTTATTTAGTTGGAATAAACTGCATCAAATGATGTCCGATTTTAGTCACTAATCTATTTGTTTTCCCCTCTTCAAATATTGTTAATTTTACAATTGCTTTGGCAAAACTTTCAACACATTCTAACCCTCTCTACTTCGTGATTACCCACGTTCCTATTGGCTTCCTGTCAAATTTAGGTGGGAATTAAAAGTGCCTTCATCTTGGCAGAAGCATCCTTCATTGTTCCACTCAGCGTATAAGAAACAAATATTTTCAATTTCATCTAAAAACACATTTAATTGCGAATAAATTCCATCAAGCTGATTTGTTGTCTCTTTTACAAATGTTTCTGGAGCTTTTGATTTAGGTATTTATTTATATGCTTTATATTGCCGTTTACTGAATCCCCAGGTTGAAAAAAGCTGCTTTACGCTAAGTTTGAATTACTCAACTATGTAAATAGTATAGATGACATTCCAAACAGTTTACAATTTCTATGGCAAAACTTTCAATATACATTCTAACCCTCTCTAGTTCGCAACATTTAAAATATAATCAAAACCTCTGTATGCGGTAAATGCATCTCCCTCTCCGAGGTCAGTGGTGATGAATTGTGTTTAGCATTCATTTGATTACAAGCATTGAAACATGAGGCACGTGCACCCTTGAGCATTAGAAGTGTTTTGTACTTAAGTATGCAGTCATTTCCTCTGTATCTTGGCGAGGAATTTATGGGGTTTATTAACCTCGGAGGACATTGTATTTTACAAGTAATACCCATGACCTGAGTAATTTACTGGATGTATTTGGAATCAATATGTAAAAATGTTGTTTTAAGACCAAAAGATGAACTGCTCAGACCAGTATTAACACACAACAGGACCATCATGTAGATTCAATTCAGTGATAACATATGAAACAAAAGTAGCTAACTCAATAATCGGAACAGAATCTAAGAAAGGAAAGTCTTCCGACCTCAGAATGATTAATAAAAACTGCGGTCACACTCTTCAACAAAGACAAATAGCCATACATTTCCTGGAAGTACGTCTCCTCAGCAAACAATGCAGCGGTATTTGTTTGCTGACAGCCAGCATTAATTATTCTGTACATCAACTGACCTTCAAATGAGTTGAAGCATAGTGCAGAAACATCTAATTAATGATGCTTCCTATTAGATAAGACTTTACCAAACAGTCAGCTGCTTGAAGCTAAGAAAGCATCAAATCATGCAGTAGTTATTCTCTGCCAAACACTTAAACATTCACTCTGTACGAAACATTCTTTATTAGACAAGGAGAAAGTCAATTTTTAACTTGACACTGAACCGGCTGTCTAGTCTGCAACAACTTAAGACTCGGGTTGAGTATTCAACGCTCTCACAAGGCACAAACCCTTCAGGTGCTGAGTTCTTTTCTTCAGGTTCCAAACGGTTTTAGTTTCACAACCAAATGTTCTTGAAAATAAGTGAGACAACCCTCTCCTTTTGTATAAAAGCGCTTGAGCGTCAAAATACAAAAAAACAAATCAAATATAATACAATTATCAGTTGGCTGTATGATACAAAAACGCACAAAGCTAAAAAATAAGTACTAATTCAAGAAGACTTCACTGCAATGCGGTTGGTTTTAGAACGACTACATTATGAGAGAGCCACAGCTTCATCTAGTTAAACGAAGCACGGACCTCATCCATCAACGCACAATGTTGGACAACAGCGCCACGTTCCACGAGCAGCCTCAGTGGTTTAGCACGGACGCTTCTGTAACTCCGACACTGCGGCACCGCGCTGCTCCGACTGGACGCTAGGTCTGGGTGGCGCTGGTCTTTACCGGGGGGTCACTGGTCTTCGGCCGCTTGGACTCCGGCGGCTGGCACACCGGATCGGAGGGGGGAGAGGGACGTTCTGCAGAAACGCATATCGATGAACAAATCAGTGACAGACGCGTCACAAAACGGATCCGATCCGCAGGGTGAAAATAACAAGAAGCAGTTAGATGGTTACGCCGAGTTTTAAAATGCACTCCCAGGGGAGCGAAGGGAGGATCGACTCCCTGGTTCAACTTTAGCCCATTGAGCTTAACGAGTATTACTAATATTTTGAGTGAGCCAACTATCAGTTTGACACACAAACAAAGTACAATTATCAGAAATTGATAGTCAAAACCAAATGTAGTTGGTAATATTATTTAAATAAAAGTTTTAAAGCTCTTGCTTTTCTAACAAGTTACAGAAAAAAAAATCAAAGAGGATAAATCCCCTGAGTGTCAAGATTGCTTCTTTTTTTTAAAGCACAATTTCTGCCAAAATGACACTGATTACAAACAGGGAGGCACAAGTCTGATGTGCTGGATCCGTATTGTCTGACACGTCCCTGGTGAAATGGATCGGAACACGCAAGTTCCCTTAAAAGTGTGTTTCCATTGTTTGTCAGTTACATCACATGATTTAAGAAGTTCATTGCAATTTGGAATATATCAATGTCTTTTTTTAAATACTGACATTGGATCACTTAGCATCGTCTGATTTTGTGTTAAGGAACAAGACGTTGGCCCATTACATCGTAACGGAAGTCAGGCTGCATTGATTTATCCATCATCATTTTCATTCTTTTGTGATATTTGAAATATGAAGGCCAACAGCCAAAGCGGCTGCAATCACTGACCGTGTTTGGCCTTCTCGGTGGAGGAGGGAGTGCGAAAGAGTGAACTGATAGCCGGAGATCGGGATGCGATGGGAGTCAGAGATACTCTCCTGTGAACAGAAAGGACGAATGGTGAAGAGGCTTCGAGCAGGAGAAAACACACAAGCACAGGACATGACCATAATTAATATAACCGCTTCCTCTCTTTATCTTCTGTTTAGTTGCCAGGGAGCCGAACTGGTCAAAACTGGCCACGGCAAACACTCCTTGTGGCAGATGTAAGGAAAACGCAAAAGCATGAGCAGACCTGCCATTGTCTAATGCAGTCTGATTCTCTTCGAAGGCCAGTGGGGGGTCCAACGGATCCTTCATTCCAGACAGGCTTTGTTCTCACTGGATGTAATGTTGCATGTAAACAGACAGAACAGGCCCATTACAGCCGTTTATATTAAAGTGTATTTCACACATTTGGTGCCCTTTCAAACTGCATTGTCAGAGATAATCAGCGTAGTTTCTTAAAAGAGGAGGGAAGTGGAAGCAGGACGCTGCGTGTATCACTTCCTCAGTCTGACGCCATTCAAAACACATTTGAATAGTGCAAGTATTTCCAAAAATAATCAAATGCAAGAACACGTTTAGCAAGATATCGCTGGTTCAGAAAATAAATGGAATTAAATCTCCTGTGTGATTACCAACAAAAAATTTGCCGCGTTCCCACGTCTCTACACTGGCTTCCTGTCCAATTTAGGTTGGAATTAAAAATGCCTTCATTTTGGCAGCAGCACCATTTCATCTAAAAACACATTAAATCGAGAACAAATTCCATCAAGCTGATTTGTTTTCTCTTTTGCAAATGTTTCCAGATTTAAACATATATCAGATTCTTTATATTTCCCTTTTCTGGGTTTGAAAAGAAGTGCTTTACAACTTGTTTTGATTACTAACAAATATGTAAATAGTATAGACATAATGTTGCAAACATTAAAAACATCTGGATTAAATCACCAATTACTTGTTTGGAATTGTGCTTACTTATTTAAATATCTTCCATCACTAGGATACTGACCCACGTAGTTTGAAGACACCATTTTGGTGATGTGTATTTCTAATTATTTGCTGCAATATCATATTAGAAATATTAAATAATCAATGTAATAACCATGAGCAGCAGTCCCGTCCCACCACACCCAAAGTCTACATGCCAACGAGCAAAGCATAGCTGTGCATGTACACGTCATATAATAAATTCATTCCGCTCACTCGGACAGAATCAAACATAACTGCTTTTTTTTTAATTACCTTGGGGTCGGACCCTTTGGGGTGGTTGCACCCATGGGAGTGGTGGAGCCCACATTATTAGCACCGTTGGGGGCTTTTGGGGTGGATGGCGTGAGGGGGGCGATGCGTGGCTGTATTTTGTTGGAGTTGTTGGGGGTGAGAGGGGCGACACAGTGTTGCGGGGTGGAGGGTTGGGGAGTAGATGGTTGGGAGGTGGAGAGTTGAGTGGTGGGGGGTTGGGGAGTAGATGGTTGGGGGGTGGAGGGTTGAGTGGTGGAGGGTTGAGGAGTAGATGGTTGGGAGGTGGAGGGTTGGTGAGTAGATGGCTGAGGGGTGGAGAGTTGAGAGGTGGAGGGTTGGGGGGTGGAGGGTGCCGATGTAGGCGCCTGAGCTGCCGAGGGAGCCGTGGTCTTAGCGGCGGAGGGCTTCCCCCAGCCCTGCAGGGTGTTGAGGGTGATCCTTCGGGGCTGAGGTTTGGACCGGCCTCTCGGGGTGCCCTTCTTCTCCTGGGGGGGGGGGGTGATGGACGGGGCGTCTTTGCCGAGGCCGCTGTGGGACGTGGGGGTCGGGACTGAGCCGGCTGCTTGGGTCAAAGGAGACGGGGTCTTAGCCGCCGAGGACTTCTTGCCCCTTTTCTCAGCACCACTGGTGGGCGCAAAGACCTCCAGGACGGGGGGCTCCTTCAGGGGAGTACCCAACTCCCCCGGAGAGAAGGACAGGAAGGAGCAGTAGCCATCGGTGGAGGACACCGCCAGGAAGGACCCGTCACGGGACCTGAAGAAGATACAAAAACGTTATCAGAAGGTGGAGGGTTGAAGCGTTTGATTAGGACGTCTCAGACTCTGGAGGTCGGGTTTTGTACTCATCGAAGACCGCAACACCTGCCACATGATGACAGAACCCCAAAATAATAAACCCAAATGAAGAGGTGCATAAACTGGCACTGCTAGGGAGGACAGCCGTAGTTTACCACGTGAGGTCGCTGAGTGTGTGGTAATGGATGTTGGACACCAGGCCGAAGGGGATGGTCTGTTGCGTGTCGTACAGGAGGATGGAGTCCTCAGACGCAACAGCAAACACCATGCGGTACGCCAACTGGAAGATGTTGGGAAGAACCTCCACTGAACCGTCTGTCGGGGAGAAATGGTAAAAAATGAAAACCTATATACAACAAAAAGAGGAGGACCTCATCATCATTAATTAATGGGGGACGGATGTTCTTGCCTTCTTTCGTCTTGGTCCTCAGCTCAAAGTAGACGGGGCAGCAGCGCACAGCCAGTGTGGCTTTAGCTGGACAAGGCAAGTGGGCAATAGGCCTGAAACACAGTTGGGATTCAGTCACCTGGAATCACTGCAGCCACAAATGACTAAAAAAAAAAAAGCAGAAATGTCCCAGGAAGTCCAGTTACCTCTTGAGGCTCTTCCTGGAGAAGATGTAGGTGGTGTTTATGATGTTCTCACCAACCTCCACGCAGCCAGCTACGGCCATAAGGGACAAGAGAAGACAGGACTTAGCTTATGTAGACCATCGCATTTAGGGTACTACAGCACGTTAAACAGGAGGCTCGGGTACCTGGGGCTAACAAGAAAGACCCATCGGGTGTGAACGAGAGGCGTCGGAAAAACGACCTCATGCCGTCATCGTGGAACATCCTGTACGGCTTGACCTGCAGCGATGAAGACAAACACGGCGCTGAGGACGTGGGTGCTACATCTCTCACTCACTCGGCAGCAGTAAACTCAGAATTCAGAACCACGCAGGGAAGACAAATGTGCTTGGGTCAACAGAGACATGACTAATTCTCAGGAAAGAAAACAAAGGCAACCCTTGCAGACGGTCTCTCAGGACGTTTTGTATTTGGATCGAGACGGGATAGAAAGCAGCACTGGGTTTCTATCCTAAAAACTAAATCAGTATCACCTACACGATTTTATTACATTTTGAATAGATAATAGTATAAAACCCCTGTGTGAGCAGACTACATGACTGACATGTTGTGCTTTTCCATCTTCCGAAAGGCTCCCTTGGTTCTAATGTAGATTGTTATTTTTCTGATGCGCATATGTGGGAAAGTTGTAAACAAGACAATTTAAGTTGATATACGCATCGGCGTGTAGGCTGTTTATTGCTGGGTTTGGATGAATGGATCGAAATATGTAAGTGTACTTTAGCGCACACTGCAATATTACCTTTTCCAAATAAAATAAATGTATATAAAAGAAAACCGTATTCAATAAACAAAAAGGAGACTCATTTAACCAGAGTTGCAAGTGCAAAGGTTCCACTGACCTCTCCTTCTGGCCCAGAGCTCATTTTACTGATGCAGAAGGCTTTCTTTTTGGTGTGAGTGCTGTACACACGCATCACTCTGAAAGGAAAACACAAAACACCTCAAGTGTGAAGCTGCGCAACAGAAAATGCGTTGATTGAAGGACTAGAGGGGCCACGAGGGCTCCGTTCTTCTACCTGTCACAGCTGAGAGTGGCTACATATTGCCCCAGAGGGTCCCAGGTCACCCCCTGCACGTAGCTCTTGTGGTCATGCAGGGTGTAAAGCTTCTGTCCTAAACACACAAGAATAAAAAACAGTTTAAACCAACGCGATGAACTCAAAGTAAAAATAATTTCACAGGGTGCGAGCAAACCTTTGTTGATGTCCCACATAATAGCGGTGTTATCGACGGAGCCAGACACCATGGAGGTTCCGTCCTGCGTCCAGCACATGTCATACACGTCCTCTATGTGTCCCCTGAAGAAAAATGTAATAAAAAATGTCTTTGTACAACCACGCTATTGCTGCGCATTTAATTAGAAATGGAAAGAAATCTGGAGGCTCCCAATTTTCAGAGTAATCAAAAATTAAAACAAAGTTCAAACGGTCTAATCTTTGCTATATAAAGAAGCTGGAGTCTGTGAACCTGGAAACGAGTTAGCATTTTCGCACTTCCAGTTGCGTTTGGCTCCAAGTAAATGGGTGGAGTTTTTTTGTTGATGTATGGCTGCGTGAAATAAGGTATGTAGGTACAAGAAACTTAACATTTAGATCTACAATATGAAATAAGACAGAAGGTACCCCTCTCATATACGTTTGATTTTAAGAGACTTAAAATAAGTGCATTTCAGCCATAAGGATACAAACTCAAAAGAACAAGAAAGTGCAATTTCATCAAAGGAGATAAATGTCAGCATGCCTCCACGGCCTCTTTATGTTTGCACTTGCTTAACCGTGGCATAGTTCATGGTTTCTCTGTAAACAACACAGCAGCAGTAGCGCCCGGGTGCTTTTGGTCGTGTACCTTAAAGTCTTGACCACGGACCAGCTCTCCTTGTTCAGCTGGGCGTCCTCATCCTCCTGGAACATGGGCACCTGCTCGGGCTCCTTTGAGTCATTGAGCTTCCACAGCAGAATTGCTGCATCTGTACCAAACGAAAACCGTTGCATTGTACACTGTCATCTGTCATGTTTTGAGATCAGTGTGTGTCAGAGACTGTATAACACATTTCATCTAACATACGTGTGCCATTGCTTTGCGTGACATACCATCTCCCCCGGAGGCAAGCAGCTCTCCGTTGGGGCTGAAGCGCACTACGTTGACAGCCTTGGTATGTCGAGCCAGATTAGACAGAAACTCCACCACCGCCTTACCGTCTGCACCGCTGTCCACCCGCCACAGCTGTATCAACATCAGGGTGAAAAGTCATTCAACGCGCACTCTTTAAACCGGCTGCGGGTCCCACGAAAAAAAACTAGTTTGTTAAACTCTGATTGCTGAAACATGTGCGGTGAGGGTTCGTTCCCCGTTCGACACATTGACCTTTGTGCGAGCATCACCATGAGCTTCCATCCCTTCGTTACACTCACTCGGACTGTAGTGTCCACTCCAGCTGTGGCCAGCCGACGGACGCGTCCATCCGCGCTATGCTGGAAGTCCAGACTGTAGACGGGCTCCTTGTTGTGCCACGCAATCTCACAAGTGACCACCTTCATTTTCTGTATCCAACACTGATCCGGCGAGAAGAGAAACAAATACATCGATTAAGTTAACGGTAGTTTATAGTTTTACCGTTTCCCGTCTGCTGGTATTAGCTAACGTTAGCAGATGACGTAACACAGTTATCGCCTCATTGTGGACAACATGGAGACCCGGTTACGAGTTACAACCTCATAAAACGACATAACGTTACTCCGGTTGCATACTAAACAAAGCTAATGCTACAAGCAGCTAACACCGTTAGCAATACATTAAACGGGGCTAACGTCATTCACAAATGACAGAACCGCGTAAACACGCAACGCCAGATGAGGTATTGTTTACCAACAAACATGTTTACCACAAATATCACCAACTCATATCTTTATATGTATTCTTAGAACTGAAGCTCTCTAAGTAAGTTAGTGTCCTACCTCCACTGCCGTCCAGCTGCAGAGCTGAGCAATTTCCCGCGTACAATTCGTTCCAAACTTCCGGCCGACTGGAGTGTTGTGATTGGTCAGAAACCCGGAAGTAAAGGCGCCTGTAAATCCCAACCACGGTGTTTTACTAATGCGTTAATCACTAATGTTAGTTATTCCTCAAGGTACAATTTTGTCAGTCCTCACTTGTAAAACAGATGATACAGATGCATCTATAGAAACAGCTTCATTAATGTTACAAATGAGAAAAGTAGAATTGTTCATTCACAAATCAAGTATATCAACACAAAAGTATTGTTGTTATACACGGATTAACCTTTAGGAATCAGGAAACATTTATTGCCAAAATAAATTAATGTAATTTATAGGATTTTCAAGTGTTATTAGGGAGAGCTTTTATTTCAATGATTAATAACATTTTCCAGTTAAATGTGATTGTAATTTGGTCTTCCGCATATCAACCCACAATTGAGTATTTCATTATGAATCCCTGAAATGAGCTCGGAAGCTGTTTTATCACACAGGACATTGAGATCTCATAAATGCTTATTCCATTATCGCAAACGTAACCAGAGCGTCATGCGATTTATTACCAAAGAAAAAAAAGTCCCAATCACCAGTATGTTTGAAAAATCAGCATCAGCGTTTTAGCAAGTCTTTTTGATATGCAATCTTGAATACATTTAATTTTCTCTCTTGAGAAACAGAGACATGAACCTTCCTGAATAAATAAAGCCTGAACACAATTCACATCACAGAAATGTCATGGCTTTGTCCCACAGTGCAATTTACCTGTCAAAATATCTGTATGAAGATAATCTATTCTGGGACAGAGTAATAGCCTGCAGTTAGTCCTTCATCCAGGTGAGTGGTGTAATGAAACTAAGTACATTTACTCAGGTACTGCACTTGAGTTACTTAAGCTGAGTATTTCCACTTTAGGTCACATGATACTTCTACTCAACAATACCGCATCTTAGAAAGTAATATTGTCCTTTTTACACCACTACATTTATTGACATTTACTTTGCAGTTATTAATCAGTTGATAAATGAGGTTGTATTATTCAAGTTTAAGACACAGAAGTCTATTACGTAGTTGAAAGAAACTTCACCTTTACCAACTAACAATTATGCATCAAGTAAACATCTTTATTTGGGGATTTAAGTATATTTCAAGAAGTTTTATTGAAAATATAAGAATTTTACTTATAAGAGAGTATTTCTTTGCATGTGGTATTTTTACTTTACCATGATCATTTTTTAATAAACATTGTATAAAAACAATTGATTAATCTTTCAGTTAAGTTCCAGTGTCACTCAGAAATAGCCCCATCTTCTAGGTTTGTCCAACCAGAAGGGATTAGGGGGATACTAATGACATGTGCATTTCATCACATAGTAAAATACAGAGATATACAAATATATTTCATAGAAAACAAATAGAACACGCTTCACTTCGAATCAAAGAAGAGTTACCGTTCTATTTTTACTGGAAAACCTAAACAACTCATTTGCCTTTCATTTTACTTAAAATCTGATCACCAAAGTGATTGTATACAACATTCCTTACTGTACACTGGGGCTGTTTTGCCACACAATTCTTTTATAGCAGTATTCAGCTATTGAGATAAAGAGTGCAAAGCAATACAGTATTTAAGTTAAAAAAACATTAAAATAATCTTAATCTCCCACAATCAAAGTTACACGTTATTCATAGATGGTGTGCGGTTCTTCATTCCATGATTCTAGGAGTTGCTAATCCAGTCGTTGCGATGGCTCTCCTCCATCAATGTCCACATTAGAAAGAACCTGTTCAAGGATCTCATCGATTACACTGCACTCATAATTCACCTGGCCCAGGTCCAGAGCCGGCACATAGGAGACCAGAAGACGCCCGACGTTGTGCCTGAGCTCGATTAATCTGAAAGGAGGAGAGAAAAGCAAAAAACTGTGATTCACATCATTGCGTTTCAGGGTTGCCGAGTTCCTTGACGGCTTTTGTCAAATTAATCCATGCTCTGTGAAGGGAGGGTGGTTCTCCAATAATCCAACCTTCTGGATGTATCGGACACAGAATTTGTGTCCGACTGTGCTGTCGATCCGGTTTCCTCTGGATCCGTTTGTACCGTAGAATCCGTGGCTGTGTGTGGAGTTGTGCTCCTCACTGGAGCCTCGTCCGTCTCCCGCTGCCGTTCCACAGCTGAGATTTGCCGGTAGTCACTTTCCATTTGCAGGCGGTCCACCTGATGGCATAGCAGATCCCCCAGGAGAGAATAAAATGAGGGAGGGTAAGTAGGTCAGCACAAGAAGATATATTTAGAGAGTAAATTATAAATAAGATAAGAGTCATATATATACACACATACAATACCAGTCAATAGCTGGGAGACATTTCCTCATTCAATGAGAAAGTGGGTCCTAAACTTTTGACTGGTATTGTATATATATATTTGAATTAAAAATAAATAATGTGGTTGCATAAGTGTGCATGTATGTCTATAATATATATATATATTTTTTTTCTAGGCTTTATCAACAATAAAAAGGAATGAATGAAAGAGCATTACCGCTCTTTAACTGTAAGCTAAGACACTGACCTTTGCGCGCAGCTCATCCCTCTCCTTTGTTATTTCATCCACTTCTCTCATCAGGCGGTCAACATGCAGCGCCACCTCATCGCTGTCCTCTTCACACGCGCCAACACTCGGATTGCTCTCAGCAGATCTTGATGAAATCTCTTTTTTAATCAGTTCATCGATTTTCTGATTGGCCATCTCAAACAGAGCTTTGAAGTCCGTCCCCCCCTCCGTTCCCTCCGTCTGGGTGGCCTGGTGACAACACGCCTTCTTTACATTGACCGGAGTCGGCCGCTGCAGACTTTTCTGCATGTCTTGCAGTTGGAAGGAGAGTTTTTGGACCTGCTCTTGAAAGGGGTCTCTCTCTCCAGCTGTAGCCTGCATCGGCTCTACAAGCTGGTCCTGCGCCTCAGGGACATTGGCATAGTGAAGTGGAGATTGATTCTCATCATATGCATTCGCACGAGAAGGTCCCCCAACTTTGTCACTATCCGCACTGTGTGTCGTTCTGTTCCGCAAGTCCTGGGTTGCTGCGTTTGCACTGTGAGCGTCTCCAATGTTCTCAAGCTTCACTTGTCTTTGCTCGACAGTGGACACACCGATGTCCACATTTAAACTTTGCCGTCCACCTGTCTCAGTGGATGTGCTGTGGCACGGTCTCTCCTCCTCTTCGGTCTTAACTTGCTCCTCTTCTTCCACCTTTACTTTGGGTCCTTCGGTCTGGGTGGTGCTGCTGGCCACCTCTAGAGGGAGTGCTGGGGTGGGACTGGTTCCTACAGCTGCAACACTCGTCTGTGGAGCGTCATCATCGTTGCACTCCCAAAGGATGCTCACATCATCATCATCATCATCACTTTGCTCTGGCTCCATCTTGACTTGCATCAAACCATAGGCTGGCTTTTTCACTTTGGGGGTACTGGTGCTTTCCAAGATGAAAATGTCCTCATCGGTATCATCATCATCATCATCTTCATTAATTAACACTGATGGGGCGCTCTGGACGTTCATATTGAGTAATGTGGACGTATCCGAGTTCCCATTGATTTTATTTTTTTTGAGAGTTGTTTCTGGTGTAGCTGGTTGTGTTATTTTCCTCCTACAAAGCATAAACAGCAAAATTAATATCATTCTCAAAGTGAAAAGGATATATTTAAGCTAAAAAACACAACACAACATCTTACTTGGGTGCTATCAATGAGCATACATCAGAAATGACTGGAAGACCACTGGAGGGGCTGTAAGCTAGAGAAACAAAAAAAATACATTCAGAATTTCATTACATTCTCTGTCGCGTGCACACACAGACACACACACACACACACATTACCAGCTGGTGAGAGGGGAGGAGATCTAAATAGAGCCCCCCTTGCAGCGCCCCTTGCAGCTCCTCGTGCAGCTCGTCGTGCAGCGCCTCGTGGTGTTACCAAGTTAAACCGACTCGTCAGGGAGGTGGAGGGGGAACGGACAGTCTGTCAACAAGCAAAACAAAAAGAAAGATTGGAGTAGAAAAGCTTTAGTAAATCCCAACGTGGAAACTCACTTGCAACTTGATCAACTCATACAGACAAACGATACAGGATTACTGTTCAGCATAAAAAGTGTTAACATCATTAACAGCTGAAAGAGGTTGCATCTAAAAACACATCTACCGGTAAATGTGTTCAAACAAAAGGATATGTTTTTTAGAAAATACTAATAATCCTAAAACATATTCCCATGCTGCTATTTATTAACTAGAATAATAATCTTTAACAAGCATGGACTTTGGTCACCATGACTCCCAACCTGCAGACGTCTATTGGCTTCTTTTTTCCTCTCAAGGATAGCCAACCGTTCTTCCTCATGCTTTTTGGCCTCCTCCAACTATGAAAATAAAATTTTCAAAACACACGATTAATCATGGTATGCTGGTATGCTTTTTTGAATCACAAACCTTACCATCAGGAAACAGCAGGTGATTCACAGGAAAGAACCGCTTTTACCTTTAGTCTTTTCTCCTCTTCAGCCTTTCTGTCTTCCTTCTCTCTGTAAAAAATCATTACCACCGGGAAATCTAAATCACGTCCCTTCATTTATTATGATGAAGTTAAATTGTTGGGCTTTTGGCAGCTTAATAAAAAAATACATATACATTCACTTTCATTCAGAGGCAAAGTTGTGGGGGGGTGTTGAAGTGAAACGGGACTCACTGTTGTTTATAGGTCTTGCAGTATGGTTGCTCATCTTCAGAGTCCTCAGCCTCCTCTTCCACCTGGCAGCTCCTGGGAGGGAAAAATAGATTACATGTATAAGTAAGTAGAAATACATCTGAGCATTTACTTTTGGTTCTGTTCATGGTGCCTTTGTGTATTCCTTCCCCTCCTGTCCTCAGTAACCTCAGTCTATATATAATATAGAATCATGGCCAGTTGTTGTGAACTCATCTGAACTAGCCACAAAATTGGACCTGATAGAAACTTTAACTTTAACAGGACATTGTGTTTTGTAAAAAAAAAAAAAACAACATATATGTGTTAAAGTGTCTGATGATGATCACATTTATCTTTGGATGGAGAAAGACTTAAATTACTAAATACTTTAGTTTGTCGTTTTAACAAAAACAGATCTGCATTGGTGTAGTTCATCGCAGCAGATTACAAACAGATCTTTCCGGTAACTGTGCTCACCTGAACTGAGGATCCGGGTTCATGTGGCAGAACCATTCATCCGGCAGCATTTCGCAGTCGATCCCGTCCGGGAGTTTGCGCCAGCGCAAACATTCATGGCACTGCACCCAGTTCTGGTCTGGGCGCTTCCTGAGGACATAGATGTAGACGAGTATCAGAGCATGTGGGAAGCTCACACACTACGTGTGGAGAATGCAAAATGTCAGCCACTGCAAAATGTACTAACAAGGTATCTTCCACTGGCGTGGTGGAATTTGGATTCTCTGTTTTTCTCCTGTGGCACATCTCCTTCCAGTACTCCTCCAGCTTGGTCCCCAAATTGGTCATAGTTTTCCTGTGCCGAGAAATGTAGACTTCTGCATTAGTGGCCATGCGCTGGGAAATAATCAAAATGTTGTTTGTGTCCAAGTTTTGAGCTGCAACTAAATTAAGCATTAATCAGCATGATGTGACCAGAACAGAATTTAGCATTGGTGCCGTTACCTGTACTTATCGGTTTCGTTAAAGCTCTGTTTGTTGTGCGTAGGTTCCAGGAACCAACAGTCTATGACCCCAATGACCCCGACACCTTTGTTGTTGGCCTGCAGAAAGCAACAGTCCAGAAACAGAAACACTGGTAAAACTCTGTGACAATGTGTGCACTCAACAAACACACTCATCGGAGCAACACAATCACCTTGAGCTGGCAGCCAATGCGCTCGTAGCCTCTGATGAGCCGGTTCTTGTAATACATCATCATGCCATACTGGTCCTTACTTTTGGTGTTGTAGCCAAAAGTAATGGCAATAGCTTTGTGCTGCTGAAATAATAGTTAAGGAAAACCCAAGCAACACTTCCTGCACACACGCACACAAAACGTGCCAAATGAAACTGGAATCATAGTTAGTCTACGATGAAAGGATACAAGAAAAGTGGGCTTGTACTGGTCCGTTTTGCGGAAGGCGAGACTCTTAGCGATGAGCTGGGTGATCACTTTTTGACCGCGAATGATGATCTGCATCCTCGGCTTTTGGTACAGAATACTGCAATAGGCCTACATCCATTTAAAGAAACAACCATCAATTATTAAAACATGCAACTGGTAAACCAATATGAAGAGAAGTTTAAATATATCACAGCTTTTTTTCTGATTGAGAGGACACAGATTACAGCGCATGTTTTAGGGTTGTTAAATCCTTTGTTTGTTTGATTAACATTGTAGAGTTGAAGGCTTGTAAAATGATTGCTGCGGTATAATTCAATCACTAAGAACCACACAAACACACATTACGGCTGCTTACCCGCAGTGAGTTTAAACTCTCAGGGATGTTTGAGTTGGCCGTGACTGGATGCTGCGCGCCGTTCGCTTCCTCGTGCACAACGGGTGGTATTCGGATGTCGTAGCGGTCCGTCTCAAAATCAAACTCTGTGGGTCTGGTGGATGTCCTGTTGAGACACATAAACAGGTCTTACAGTCTTTGGCTTGTCTGGTCTCCTTGACGCTCACATCTATTACTCTTGAACAGTGAACATAAAACATGCATTTGGAGGGAGGAACTACGGACGGACTTGCAGAGATTCCAGATGATGATCCGTGTGCCCGTTGACTCGGCGGACCAGTTGGTGCTGATGGCGTTGACCTCGACAAGCACATCTTTCTCTGTCTTGAAAGGGGAATACTCCAGGATGTCCTCCAGACTGGATCTGTGCTCCTCTCTTACGACGAGTGAAGCCAAAGTTAAGGACAACTTGCCTTGAAAAACAAGGGTGTGCTTTTCTAAAACATGTCAAACGACTTCGACTTCCGTCCGGCCCACGTGAAATACTAGCAATAAACAAACAACTACAGAAATGACTTGTATCACACAAATATGTCTCATACAAACTCTTTGGGTGTCCATCAGATTTCTCTATTACTTCCCTGGATGCTTCTTGTAACCAATTTCATTTATTTACATGACGCGGAATGCTTTAATGCAGCAGATGAAGGATATAGTTGTTCTTCTTCCCTTTATCAAAGCAGACGATAGGAACACTTATTTGGTTGGCACCAATCTGTTTCAGGTAGTTTTGAGAGAGCATCCCGACGCAGGAAACCTTCTCCGACTTTGAAAACACGATGGCGTCCTTGCCGAGACGCATGGATCCAGACTTGAAACCGTTGCCATACATACCGATTGGGGTCACTCTTTTCACAGCAACCTTATCGCTGTACCCAAAGCTGGAGCGGGAAAATGGCTTTGTTATTCATCATCGGTACACGATTCATGTCATGGTTCGCACACCGATGCAACATTGCGTACAACAGGCACTTAAAAAAAGGTTTAAGCAATGGTCATTATGTTTACAGTGCATTGACAATGTCATTTCCAAATGAAGGTGGCAGTACCTGAGCATCTTAAGCATCGTTGCATCGTCCAGTCCATTACCATTATCCATGAAGCTGAGGCACTCTTGTCCTCCGACCACAATCTTATCGATCCAGAACTTTGTGGCGCTGACATCTGGATCGTAGGCATTGTCTGTTAAAATAAACAATTCAGGGAGAAATTAAAGAATTAAATTCTCAGGGAGAAATTAAAATTCCCAAAAGAATCTCAAACTCCAGCGTTTATTGTTCACACTGTTCTAGTACATGGAGCACTTTTGTTTCCTTCTACTGAGCTCCAGATGTTATATCAAAAAAGGAGAAAAGATGGATAATTAAAACTTTGAATGAACTCAATAAATACCGTATCATTTTACACTGACAAAGAGGGCAATGAGTTGACATTTGCATTGTAATAAATAAAAAAAAGACCCCCCTGCACAAGGAGCTTCTAAAGCTCATCATGAGTCTAACCGTGTAAAACAACCGTAACAAAACCACGGTGTCATCTCTGTGAACGTATAAATATGTATTTGTATAAATACGTCTGCAATGCTCTCAAATTAAAGACACACCTCTTCAGACTGTAGGTCTTTAATTGTACTTATAATGGCTCTTATCTACAGCCAGTTATTTGATGAAAATTGCACTTTCTTGTTTCTTGTTCTTCTGGGTTTGTATCCTAATGGTTGAAATGCACTTATTGTAAGTCGCTTTGGATAAAAGCGCCATGTAAATGACATGTAATGTCATGTAATCACAGAGAAGAAGTTTGTCCATGTTGCAGACGTCTTTTAGTTCTCTGTTGCACTTTGTGTTCTCTAACATGAACTTGGTGACTTCTTTTCTGTAATGGAAATGGATCAATCCATTAAGCCTAGTTTATGCTTTAAAAGACCCCCTTGCGTGTCCCTTGCGTGCCTTTTCACACCTCCTTGCGTGCGTCGACCCATTTTTCTAGGCTTGCGTCGCTTTCGAAGCCTCTCGCAGCGCACCAGGCTGCGATTGGTCCGCTAACTACGTCCTTTACGGAGTCTCACATTTCCGTTTTCATAGCGCAATACCCATATTATTAAAACGAAGAATGTTTACGAGAGAACGGATCAGATTGAAGAGCTCTTGTCTGTTTGCCAGTCGAGGGGAACAAAGTTGTGGAGGAAAATACGGGACAAATGTGTCCGTGATGAAAAGCAGCAGTGGCGATGCACGGGGCAATAAAGTCTCTGATAAATAAATAAACCAGCCTTTAATCCATCAATCCCTCTAGCTCTCTGTCAAACAGCTCCTCCAGCGGTGACACTGAGTGTGGGGGAGGAGGTTTGGGGGTCAAAGGGTACATTCCTTTAACATCCTGTTGAAGCTTCTGGTGCAGGGCTGTCCTCTAGGACAACACAAACAAACCTCTCTGGTGTGTGTTTGTCAGGTCACGCTGCTCCTGTAAGGGAGAAGGAACAATCCGTCCCCTTTCAGCTGAATGGAGTCGTTGGACGTCTGTCTGTACTTATGGCTTGTGTTTGATGATTTGTGTTTATTATTGTTGTCCTATATGCTAGTAGTCAGTAATAAATACTTAATCACCCAAAAGTTTAAGGTACTTTGGATTTCAGAGGAGGTCATTATCCACCAACTTCCACCACATAAATCTGTATTGTGAATTCAAACATCTCAGTCACATTTGAATGCACTCAAGTGTCGGTGCTAGTTTAATTTGCTCAATAGGATTGTGGTTAAGCCATCGAGGACACCCAACCCTGTAAATAAACCAGGGACATGCTCATCAGCAAATATTATAGTAAGAGCGCCTCTTTCACATGCAAACAAGGCGCGTGGTGATGACTCACCTATGAGCTCGGCTATGGCGCTGAAGGGCCAGGTGTGGCTGGTGGAATTGGAATGAAGAAACTTGGGACAAAGCTGCACAGGAACAAATCAAGAGGGAGAAAAGTAGTTATCAAAGTGGCCTTCTGTTCATTCATCGACTGTTAACCCTAAAGCTATTACGAAGACCCCCCCCCCCCCCCCTTGACCCACCATTGATCATGGCTGCAGACAGAAGGCACCGGAGTTTAAAGCAGTTTAAAATGCCTCGCCGTGACACGCAGCCAAATGACGAGTAAACTCACAGACGCGTTTAACCACCATCAGCAAACTCACAATAACATGGAATGAGATGGCTCATTCCCTAAAAGGCCCCTGGAAAGCCCACTGCCAGATGGACGCACAGGTACTGCTTCCGGATCCATATTCAAATGTCATGCAGAATAGTTTATTCAAAACGGTCAGTGTGGCTGTGTTTGAGTGCTTGAATTCACACTTTATGTATTGGTACATGTTTATGCATTTGTTATTAAACAATATCTTAAAAACTGTACTTGTCTGTGGATTAGAACGTTATCAAAAATGAGCCATGTTGGAATCTACAGTAATATTTGGTTTATTTAATTCAATACAATCCCAAAGGAGGGAGAAATACACAATAAAATATACAGTCATATTGAAGGGAACCGTTCCAGTATCTTTTCGCCTGTCTGAACATGGACGTTTTAGGAGTAGTCGTTGGGGTTCCACACATCGAACCTTCACATTTAATTTACGAGCACCGAGGGAGTGTGAACCGAACCGGCAGAGGCAGGCCTCGTGATTTACAACACACACAGATATCACATATCATGTGTGCAAATAAAATAATAGTTCATTGTTTCTGAAAAGTATATTTCATAATATTCAGTTTCCTAGATGCCGTGTGCATTTGGGTGTCACAGTCCTACCAATATAATAAAGCATGCAGGGAATTTACATCGATGAGGACTGTATATATATATATATATATATATAAGAGAAAACTCCAGAGCTACTTACCTGAGTCACAACACCTATATGTTCATGCTTGGAAAATGATTGTGTCTTTTTATATTAATAGAAATACGGGAAGTCAAGCAGCACTCCAAGCAGCCCTTCTGCTAGGAGTGGCTTCATGCACACATATGCTTTTGCATACGGAAGCTAAAGTGGTCTGCGCGGACAAAACGAACAGTGATGACTTCAATAAGATACTTTGCGTATGTTTTGAATGTAAGGCTGTAAAGCAGAGTAAACGAAAGAGAAACCTTCGCAGGACGCATTGAGCGCGGTGCACAGACTTTAAAGTACTGCATTAAACTTGTTCGTACGTTTCGTTGTTACACATGTGTAACCCTTGTTAAAAAAAACATACGTGCCATTTGCGTTTGTAAAGTGAATTTAGAGTGTCAGACATTTCTGCCAGGCAGCAATAATATATTACACACCGTTCTCTCGCCGTTAAACCCGCTGCAGAGAGACCGCAGCGGGTCTAACGTGACGTCACAAACAAGCCAAACAACACGTATCCAACCGTCCACCGGGACGTATGACGTAACATGTCCAAACGCAACTTAAATAACGAGTACGTTGTCCTCACCATGCAGAGCGGGACTCCGCGGTCCGTCAGCGCCGCCATCTTTCACCCAAACGCGGGCGCTGGTTTGGAGAGATTGACGTGGAGAGAAGCGGAGAGAAGCGGAGAGAAACGGGAAACCGCGGAGCCGCTTAGGTTTCGGTATCGCTCCCTTCATCTGTTCGGGGCGCGGCTTGGCTGCTTTATGACACAGCGGCGCATACACAAATAAATAAAGAAAGAAAGGAGGTTTGACTTTAGAGTTGAACGTCTAAACGTAAGTTCCGGTGATCTTCCGCGTGGTGCGCGCTGTTGGGCTCCGTCCCGTTTCTCTCCCCCCCCCATCCCTAAACCCTGAAGGAAGGAAGTGGTTGAGCGGGAGAGTCCGAGAGGACTTTAAATGGTGAGAATGGGAATGGGACAGCACTTTGCTGCCACATGCCAAGTCACCATCATTAATTACATATTGATGATTTATGTAATACACCACGTGTGTATTAACTGGCAACCAGTGCTGTAGTGGTAAAATTAGAGGTGGGTAAACTCTGAATTTTGTGATCATACGGACCTCGACGCGATGCGAAGCAACGCAACACAAAGCGTCGCGACTCTTGTAAGGCTGTCCTGGCTATATTGCATTATGTTATCAGTAAAAGTCATATACAATCAATGACAATGAATACATGTGTATGAACAACGTAAGTTAAAGGAACACTCATAAATAGCCCATACAGCATGTTTTTTTCACGTTGAGAACTGACTTGTTTTCTAATCTACGCGTCACCAGGCGTTTTTCTTGTCCTTTTACCGTGCACGACCAGCGAACACAGAGCGCGCGACTACTACCCCCCCGTCGGTCGTTCCGCCCGCAACGATTACTACACCCCGCCCCCCCCGTCGGACCTTCTCGACCGGTCCACGAAATATTGTCTGACATGAAACCGGTCCGTGAGGTAACAAAGGTTGGGGACCACTGGGCTGATCCACAACGTGTGTTTACACACCTCCTGGATCCTGATTGGTCGCTGCTGCAGCCGCAAGGCACTGATTGGATGCTCACAGACCGTAATACAGCGCAGATGAACATGATTCAGACTACGGCGTTTTTATGTTCAACAATAGGAAACGTAGCCTTAGCTGTTTTAAAATTACACCAATTTTATTTCGGATTATTCCAACGGAAGAATACAAGGCGCAGGGAACTTTGAGGTGCGTAAACGCTATTTATAGGTGTGTAAACGCTATTTCCAAAATTCCAGAGGTGCGTAAACGGCGTTTACGTGCGTCTACCCTCCACTACAGCCCTGCTGGCAACCGTTTGACTTTCACATCGATCGATGTTTTCCCAGTCATCCCGCTTTGTGTTTCTGGCGAAAGAAATAATAACAGAATTAATAACTAAGTGACGATGCATTCATCCCCCATACAACAAAACCACCACAGGTTGAACACGGCACAATGACACAATTAAATAATCCAAAAATATGAAACCGTATGTTAGTGTTCACAACACAGTCAATCCGGTCTGTGTAGTGTTGTGCCCTCTCTCTCACTCACCCGTGGTAAAACGCTTTCTGATAACAGTTATATGACTGCTCATCCTTCCTAAACGGTGTTGGGCCTTTGCAATAAAAGGTCACAGACAAGTGTGTGTTTCTGAGAACAGTTACGTGACGGGTCAGCATTCCTACAACGGCGTTGGTACCTGCAATAAAAGGCCACATGCAGTTGTGGTCAAAAGTTTACATACACCGGTAAAGAACATAATGTCGTGGCTCTCTTGAGTTTCCAGTTATTTCTACAAGTCTGATTTTTCTCTGATAGAGGGATTGGAACAGATACTTCTTTGTCACAAAAAAAAATTCATGAAGTTTGGTTTCACTTTTATGACTGTATTATGGGTTAACAGAAAAAGTGATCAAATCTGCTGGGTCAAAAATATACATACAGCAGTGCTAATATTTGGTCCCTTGGCCATTTTCACTTCAATTAGGTGCTTTTGGTAGCAATCGACAAGCTTCTGGTTGAATCTTTGACCGCTCCTCTTGACAGAATTGGTGCAGTTCAGTTAAATTTGATGGCTTTCTGACATGGACTTGTTTCTTCAGCATTGTCCACATGTTCCCAATGGGATTTAAGTCAGGACTTTGGGAAGGCCATTGTAAAACCCTAATTCTAGCCTAATTTAGCCATTCTATTACCACTTTTGATGTGTGTTTGGGGTCATTGTCCTGTTGGAACACCCAGATTTGATCACTTTTTCTGTTAACCCATAATAAAGTGATAAAAGCGAACCAAACTTCATGAATGTTTTTTGTGACAAAGAAGTATCTGTTCCAATCTCTCTGAGAGAAAAATCAGAGTTATAGAAATAACTGTAAACTCAAGAGAGCCATGACACTATGTATATAAATGTCTTTACAGGTGTATGTAAACTTTTGACCACAACTGTACAAGTTACCCCCTCACATACTACATTTATATAATACTACGGACAGCAGGTTTGGTCTTTTCGTCCTGTCCACCAACACTTTGGCATGTGGGCGAGAGGAACTGGGGATAAAAACGGCAATTTCATTTATCTTTAGTCACTATTTTCCATCAACAACAATTTCTCTCCAACACCAAAAGAGAAACAAGCAACTGGAGCTGTAAAGTGAAAACACAGTATTTAAAGCTTAAATTTTAATTTAATGAGTCTTCTTTCCGTTAATTCTAAACACGACATGGTCCTTTAAACATTTAAAATAAATTACTTAAGCATTCAGCATTGGAAATAAAAAATATAATATGCAGTTGTAAAAACTGATTTCCCTTTAACACCAGAAATGGCAAGCATGTATTTTAGCAGCGGTCCCCAAATAGTATTTCAAATGGTTTTCCAGGTGTACACAAATCACATTCGGTAACTTCCACATACAACTCTTCACATTAATCTAAGCGAAAGGGTTGCGAGGTCCCATAATGACGTATCCACTAACAATTAAAGAGAGAGAACCTAACAGCAGCAATATATACAGAAGATTTTACATTGTCAGAGTCAGACAGACGTTATGCTGGCACCAGAAGGTTATGAAGTCCAAAGATCAACAATACTTAATGAGGTTCTTTACAGCGAACTTGCCATTTAAAATATTGACTGGAATTTATTTCATTATAAAGGTGCATGGCGCCTAATTTGAACAGATTACCACTAAAACCATATGAAATGAAAGTGCATACAATGACATCATTTAAATGTGTAAATATTTTCCAACCCAGATTATACTCGTCCTTGAGAGAGAAACAAGCATTCCACAGAAATTTATCATTTCATACTACTACTAAATTAGTTTTTTTATGACCAAAACACCCACTGAAATAACTACAACAACAGCAGGTTTTTTTTAACACAGATTCAATGTGAGAGCAACTCAAAGCTAAGCATATTTAAAACATTTAAAACTGACTTCCTAAACGTTTCCTCTCTTTTCTTTTCTACGTACCGGCTGTGGCTATTTCAAGTATTCCAACTGTACTGCTGCAAGTCAAAGAGCTCGAAAATAGGACGTATGTAATGAAAGCTTCCTAACTCTCCATGGAGTCCAGGAACTCTTCTTCGGTGATGTGCTCCAGCCTCTTCAGGACTGTGTCTGCGCGGGCTGCTGGGTAGTCTGCTACTGGGAGGGGGGGCATGGGGTTGCTGGTGGGGGGAGGGCCCTGGAAGGAACAGCAAAGGGTGCGAAGGAAAGGCCACAGCTGGGTGATGGAGGACAGTGAACGTTGGGGGAGGAGAGGGAACTCCAAATCCTCTGTGGCAGATTCCTCACTCAGCCCATTCAGTGTCTGGAATATAAACACAGGACTCTATAAATCACATTAGAATACGGGTAAATGAAGTCCAGCGTTCTGATTGGTTGAGAGTGAGTCACGGGGGGTACATTATTCAGCAATAATGTACAGTTGCTGTTCACATTGACCCGAGTGTTCCGTATCACTGCGCACTCAAAGTAACAGGTTTTGCGCGACCGTTAGTTGACATTTCAGCTTTTAGCTCGGTGGCAATCGCCGAAAAAAGACCGGAATCCGACAAATTATCAGTTTTGGGGGAATGCGAGCTTTCGCAACCGGACAATTAAGGTGGATGTTATGAGCGATGTGGATGAATGAGATAATGCGGGACCCGATGCTGTTTACGTGCACGTACGGGGACCTTTTCTTCTCTAGACTACTGAAATGAGATACACAACGTTTGGTGGCTACAACTATTTTGTACTGAAGGGCAGCTATTTACTTACTGCGCGTCGGGCCAAACAACACCCCCGAACTTTTACATTATGGACGATAAAGTACAGCCTCTCGTACCTTATTGACTGAGTGTGTACACTCACAAAACTGGACTTTGTTTGGTCTTTTGTAAAACAACTACAGAGTTCAGGGTCGGCCGAATTTGATCAGAGAGAACAGACACTGAAAGATTCTGATTTAATGTGTGTGTGACATTCTAATAGCTACTATAATACCCATGAGCCCCCTTCACTGGTTACCCTGGTTTTTAGGCCTCTGGATCTCGCCTGGTAACCAGCGTAAAATCTGCAGTAAACTATAGTGGATGATTCCCTCAGGAAGTCTGCAGAAATGGTGGGCTTTTGGAAAGTGTAAATAAAGAGCTCAGAATGTTAAACCTTATGGACATTGCAGGAATGGTCTGTGAGTGTCTACACTGGGGGGGGGGTCCAGAGTCTTGAGCAAACATGTACCCTTTGGCAAACTCCACCCATCACTGTGTCAGAGCTACGATGGAGCGCACAATTCACTGAATACACTACCTGAATAAATGTGATTTAATACAAATAAAGGAAAAACGCTATTGAGTCAGATTATCTTACCCCATATCGCTGCTGGATCCTTTCCAGTACTCTCACAACATGGGGTGTGCATTCCTGTTCGCCTTCTATCAGCGTAGTCTCTGGGCCAGAGTAGCGGTTCACATCCACCTCGGGGACAAATGCCCAACGATACCTGGACAAGAAGCAGAAAAGGTGAGAAAGAAAATAACACCATAAAATGAGTAACACCACTACTTATACGAAGACATCTGCTGCCATGTATTTAAGTCCTTTCGTCCCGAGCTCTCACATCTGGAAGAGTGGCATCCTCTCTGGAGGAAAAGCCAGGGAGGTGTCCAGAAACTTGAAGGCTGACAAGTACATGTCCAACTCAGCCTGAGAGAAATTCACTGGTCCATTCCTGTCCTGGGCTCCCCGCACCACTTTGGCCAGCCTAGATGGTCCACAAAATAAGTAAAGATTGAGTGAGAGCGTCAATAGAGGGTTGATAAAATGTGAATTTGTGAAAAAAATGATCATCTCACTTTGACACGTCTTTATCTATCAGCATTGCCTTCTCTAAACGAGCAAACATGCGAATCTGAAAATGAAAGTGAAAAACAAGTTTACATCAACAACAACCGAAATACACACTTGCACATGAGTAGAGCGGAGTGAACAGAGCAGGTTCCTTAGAAGATGGGATCGTACCAGTTCTGTGACCATGATTGGCCAGAGAGATGTGAGGTGTTGGGAGGAAATCCGCAACAGGAGAACACGAAACATCAGGAACATCTGGGCTGAAACACCAGGACTGGGGTTCATACGCAAAGCCTCAGTGAGACGCTCTGAATGGAGGAGAGGAGGAAGTTTTAGAATTGCCAGAGAACACCATCCATTTCAAGGTCTATTTCTTCCATTACATTAGAGAGGTTTAGATGAATTTGACATAAATATCCAGCACCGCACCTTGAATGAGGGGCAGATAGAGATGATACTGGTCGAGTTCTCCACTGAACATGGCGAACGCCTGGCGCTTCAGCAGCATTGGTTTCTGGTCCACATTAGTAAATAGTTTCAGGGAGCCACTCTGCATGCCTACAGGATAAGCAAATCAAAAATGTGTCTTTAGTTTGAATTCACGCACTCCTTCCAGAAGCGACATTCTAAACGTTTGGGCAACAGGATTTTGATTTTGAAAGTGTTTTGGTTTCCCCTTTTTAGTCTCTGTAGTATTGACCATGTTTGAGCAGGCCTTTGTTGAGTAAAAAAGGATTTGTTCTGATGAGTTTGCTTTTTGGGGGATTTGGAATTAATGTATAAACTGGTGAAAAAGTCCAGTCGTACATGTCATCTCTGAACTCAGAGACTGTAAACAATGAGCAACGCACCAAAAAGGGAGCTCTTGGCCGTTGGCGCCTCCGTTGTCAGAACAATGGGTTCTATGTATCTGCTACAGTAGATGTTAGAAGTAAAAAATGGCCGTTGTCACAGATTAAGTCTCACCTTCGTATTTACAGCACAAACATTTCCTCAAAGCTGTACTCACTCATGAGGTCTTTGAACATGGTCTTCTCATGAGTCAGCAGGTGGTCAATAATGGATTTCCAACTATAGAGAATAAAGACCAGTGAGGGAAAGAATATTAGAGATAATAAACAGCACACGTGCAGAATTAACCAGACTGTTGATTCTCCACTCGTGGTGCTCAATCAAAAGCATCAAAAGCATCTATTCACTCGTCCCTCTGGAAACTCAGGTGACACACTTAACCACTTCTTTAAGTCTTGAACAACCGCTTTGTAACATTCACGTCATTTAGGGCTGAACTCGACTACACAAATTCTTAGTGCTTAAATCTCTAACTAATTGACTCAAGAAATCTACATCAACAAAGACCAAAGCAACCTACTGGCCGACGCAGCGACAAAGATTACTGCAGAGTAAAAACATGCATCAGAAGTACTGAATGTTCACATTACGAGAATATGTACGTTGAAACTACTGGATACGTTTGACAAAAAAGACTTTCCCATCAGCTGCAACAGACTGGCTGATCTCTTCTACTTTGCCTGGAGTTCTTAAAGTGAGAACATAAGATGGAGAAGTGCTGGGCTTCTACCTTGTAAGTACTCTACTTTCAAATAAGGGCTAGGAAGGACATTTCCAAATTGTACATAAAATAGACCCGGTTTATTGTGTAATTAGCTATTGTCTCATCATTAAGTTTACACACACACATTTATATTTATTGTACTTTTTATAAACCTAACCTTACCTATCTTTTAAATATAAAATCCTCCTCACATTTTTTTAGAGCTGTTGTCTACGCCGTCCATCTCAATTTGTATGCTTCATTATTAGCCTTTTTGTCTTCACAAAAAAAGACGATACTTAATCATCGTTGTTTCATTACCATGAGTCTCTGTGTGTGTGTGTATATTTCTAAACAAATAAACATATTTACTTGGGAGCACAGGAGACATCCATAGTGAAGAAGAGGGGGTCCATGAAGAGCTCAAAGACCTCTTTCCTCCAGGCCCTTTTGGTGTAGGCATACCCACTCAGGCTACTGAGCAGCTGAGATCCCGCTTCAAAGCTGGGCATGTTGTAGGCACTGGCAGAAAGAACGCGCACGTGAAAGAAGGTTTATTGACACGCAACAGACCAAAGCTGTTAGTATTCAAGACAGCCCTGCTCACTAGTTACCTGTGGTTCTTCAGGTAAGGAAAGACATAGTACATGAGCCGAGAGATGAGAGGAACCGCTTTCTCCTTCTCGTCGCTGCGGTACACCATGTCCAGAAGGGGCGCCAGGACCTGTGCAGCAATAGAATGTGTTAAACAATACAAACACAGAACTCCCGTTCATCTTTTTAACATAAGAAAAGATAAAAAGGGAAATGTAAATACCTCAGCCAGAAGCACAAGCGCTTGGACGCTGTAAGCGGAGGGAGCCGAAGAGGAAACCATGGTGCTGGCTTGAGCAACTGGGTCTGAAAAGGAGAGGAAGAGCATACAGAGCTCACTTGGGACTGTAAAACAAACATCTTGTGGTCACTCTGGGAGCAAGCGACATGTGCATAAACAACCAGAAACAATATACTACTATGGATGGGGGCAGCAGCAAAAACATATTGGTCACCTAAAAAAAGTAAATCCAAAAAAAGTGTTTTAAGGCGTGGACTTGCAAAATACATTACTCCTTAGCGTGTAGGTTGTTTCTAAGGGGAAGCATAAAAAAAAATCCTTGTATCGGGACGCAGCAAAGAGGACAGCAGGATAGCTCCTTTTAAACATGATAGATTACAGTGCTGGTCGTCCTGCCTGCTGCTTCACATTAGGGATGTTCTTATAGTCACCCACGGACTGTGGCTAGTACCTTGTATAACCCAGATTTAAAATGTCTGAACAATCTGTACAATAGTTTACAATAGAAAGAGCTGTGCTTCTCCTGCAACAGCATTGATTTGTGAGCTCCATTATCAATTTTCCAGTGCGAGGTATTGATCATCTGGGTTCATATTCTAAACCACTGGATGGGAATTGCATATGAGGTCAATTTGTCAAAGAGATGAAAAGTTACCGCAATGATCACCATCCAGCTCGGCGTCATCAAGTTCGTCTGCTTCGGGGCCCACCTGCGGCTGAACTTTGACCTCAAGGCTGCGACTGAGCCAGCTGGTTTGCTCCAGAGATGAGCCTGCAATCCCGCCCACTGCCTCGAGGATCCGCTGAGTCACCTCCTGCAGGACAATGTCACCATCAGTTGATCACCAGCGCGGCATCTCAGACGCACTGGCTCGCTATCGCCATCATCGCTAGAACAAGACAACGTGCATCATACCTGGAGATCTCTACTGTCCTTTTTGTTTTCCAGGTTAGGGAGCCTATTGACAATGTCGTTGAGTATTCTGAAAGACAGAAACCTTTAATGAGAATCAGTTTTTCCAAGAGAGAATTGGCAAATATTTTGAGCAAATGCAGCAAGCAGGCCAAGTAGCGAATCAAGGTCATAGACTCTGTAACTGAATGTGTTAAAAAACTGACCCCAGCAGCAAGAAGTGTCCAGGCGGGGCCAGGTTGAGCTGAACAGACTCCCGTAACAAACTGAGGAGAGGAGCTACATTTTCCTGCAGAATCTGAGCTGAAATGCTGCATAGAGAAACATAATTTAAATAAAATATACCTAAAACATATTCTAATACTGGTGACTAGCATTGTATTTCTTAAATACCTTTGGACGTAGGCGTAGCTGAACTGTAACATGGGGATATCTACTAGGGTTGACTTCTGATGGAGAGAAAAGTACAGCAAGGATTTTACAAAACAAGGAAAAATTAACCTGACACCTCTAAAATGCTTGTAAGTATGTTTGTTTACCTGCTCTCCTTTGATCTGATGTGGTTTTTTCACCACCTCCTTGACCAACTGTAGGACTGTCTCCGTTTGCAAGGTGTGCAACGATTTCACCAGAGCCACAATGGTTAGACGAGACTCACTGGCCACTGGTAAGACCTAAAGAAGACAGTGTGATGAAGGCAAGCTGCTCTAAAGGCTTCCAGTGAGCTGGATTTCAGATTTCAACGCTGCACTTCTTACTTTATTTTTATGTCTCCTTTTATTCCTTCTGCTGCTCCACACTGCTCCCAGTGAAGCCATGAGCTGAATCCCATATGGCCCAGTTAGAGGGACAAGGAACTCCAGTATCCGCTGTCGTAAGATCTAAACATGTACACGTCGTGAAAGGGAGGACATTTTCCATTATCTTTTCATCATTTTATCATCAGACAAACACTATAAATGAAAGTTTTTTTATCGGTTATTGCAAGAAAATGTACACGCATATAGCACAGTACACACCTTGGTGCTTTTAAAGTAGACAGAGGTAGAAGCGTGTCTGCTGCTCTGGGCAGTTTCTGAGGCGCGCCTCTGAAACTCCTCCCTCATGACCACGCCCCAGAGCAAAGCCATGCTACTGAGCATGTGCGGCAGCGCCTCAATCACAGCGTTGCGTGCATTACGGACATCCACAGGATCACAGGCCACCAGGGACTAACAGGGGGAAAAATGGGGTTTAACAGTCTCCATCCATCCATCCATCCATCCATAAAAGAGCTAAATGTGTGTGTGTATGTGTCATTCCTCACCTTCCTGTTGTCCAGTAGACAATAGTGTGTAATGGTGGTCAGGCCTTCTAGCAGAGTCAGAGGGTAGTCAGGAGCAATGTTTTCCCTCCTACAACTCGGGCTTATCAGAGGACAGAAAACACACATCCAAATACACTGAAAAAATAGTTTGCTTATTTCAAATTAGATTCCAGCCATGAAACATAAGTGTCAAATATAGATAATAACATAACATCTTGAATTACTATTGGCACATTTAGCAGTGTGTCTTTGTCAAATCATCACAGCTCTGTCTACCTCTGATTGGTCTTCCCTCCATCATGCTCGTAGAGCTTGACCAACTCGTCCAAGTTCCTGCAGATCTGACCGATGAGTGGAGCCACGATGATGCCTACCGAGCGACCCAAGTACGGCAAAGTGGAGCACAGCAGTGACACCCAGTGGGGGTGCATGGCGTAGCCGTACTGGGGCTGCAGAGCCCTGGCTGCGGCAGAAACAAACATTCCTTGGGCCGTGATTGGGTGGCTTTGGACATACTGGGCTGCCTTGATGGATTGCTGAAAGAGGACCGCAGTCTGCCATTCACGTGCGAGCGGCGTTGTGGCAGTTGGGGATTCGCGAGGCTCCCCGGCTTGGCCGGCCGCCCCGCTTGACGCAGCTACGGAGACAGCACCCCCGGGCCACACGTGGGACTCCAGGACTATGAGAGCCTGGAGGAGTCTCAATAGCTCCATTTGTAAGGGGTACTGCTCCTGTCCGCCTCCTGCTCCAAGATTCACCAGGCCCTCCTCCGACAGGCCTCCCTGCTCCTCCAGTACCTCCACTCCCTTGGGCGGCGCCTTGTCCGTCACCCTCTGGCAGACATACATCGAGGCAGAAAGTGTCAGCAGAGCGTATTGCTGCACTTTACATCCCGAGAGGAGTCTGCGGATGGGCTCCACACCGGCCCCATTGCCCTCTTGTCCGCGTGCCACGCAGCCCAGCTGGTTGACAATCCGGGTGAGCACCGCCACACTCTTCACCTGGACCTCCCTGTTCCCCTGCAGGTCCATGGGACCCAGGCTCACATAGGAAGGGTAGTGGGAGCGCAGGAATCGCAGGCACAGGGACACCAACAGTTCAATGAGCAAGGATGGCGGCAATGAGGGGGAGGAAGAAGGGGAGAGCGGGCTGCCATAGAAGCCCAGGCCGTCCTGAGCCTGCTGGTGGCGCTGCAGGAGGTTCGAGACCAGGTTTAAATGTGCAGCAGAGCTGGTGTCCAGAGACGTGTAGGAGAGGGCATTCACCAGAGGGCATTCTGCACTGCTCCGCAGCAGGCTGTCGAGCAGTGCCAGGCCCTGGAGCAGATGGCGCCAGCCGCCCGCCATGGGATAAAGAAGCACATGGCGGAACAGAGAGTCGATGGCCTCTCTCTTCTCGCGCTCCTGTTTTAAGAGGCGGGACCTGGCCAGGGCCTCCAGCTCTAGATCCTCCTCGTCTTCGCTCGACAGCGAATCAGACGCCTGCGTGTGCTCGGACTCCGCCCTCCGCAGGCCGTTGACCACGCCTCCTTCCTCGATGCTGCGGTAGGGAACGGAGCCCGAGCTGGAGTTCTCAGTGGATAGCTGAGCACCGCTTGTGTCAGCTGACTCAGTGTTTTCACTCTCCGCCTCCTCCTCTTCCCCCTCTTCCTCCTGCTCTTCCTCAGTCCCTTCACTCTCGCTCCGAGACACCACTAAGGTGTCCGCCGGTTGGGCCAACTCCGGGCCGCTGTCCAACTCTGCCCACAGGGATTCCCGGTCCACAATGTTCATGAGATTTAAGGTGGTGACCTCTGTTGACATGGAGTCTGCAGATGTTCCCGAGGCTCTGGTGGAGCTACGGCTTCTGTTGCTTAGAACCTTCAGGTTACCTTTGAGAAACAAGACCGAACATTAATTTGGGAATTTGAACTTGAACACAGCATAGGCAGATTGCTCTGGCTAAAGCACTTACCAGCAGTGAGGTTTTGTTTGATGCTCTGAATAGAGCGGCGCTGAGTGGACGGGTGAAGAAGCAACAACAGAATCGGCTCCAGGACCCGAATCACGTCATTGAGCGAAAGAGCTCTGACCAGCCAGCACTGAGCTGCTGCACTTATTGAGCCGTCTGTACAGCTCAGACTGTCCACCACCACACACAGAGACCTGAGAGAGACACACACATTTCAACAGTCAGAATAATACAAAGAAGGAAACTATGTTGCAGATTTGACTCAATTTTAAACAGCTGTATATTCATTGTGAAGTGCAATTGGACTATCACTGCCTACTTCGCTTCACACAGTGTTTGCATGAAATTCTCACTTTGCATCTTGAACTAAAGCTGCCTTGTGCAGCAGGTTTATCCACCAACAGAGAAGCATTGTCACACATGTTGAGTACTTACAGAATATATATGTTTAAGGGATATGCATTAATAGAAGAAACTACACACTACTAACCGATCAAAGGAGTGATTGAGAGACGTGGTCCTGTTGGTCTGGATCTCCCGGGTCAGGTGCCATAGAACTGTGAAGCGGTGCAGTGCTTCCAGCCTAACAGCCTGGGGCAGACAAACACAAAGCAAATATTTGGCTTTTTTGTTCAACTTTTTTGTTGAACAACTCACTAGCATTTCCTAGCAGCTCTCTTTATGTGTCCCAGATAATCTGACACTTGCTGGCTGAAGATTTAAATGTGTTCAGCATGTGTGCAGGCATGTGTGCAGGCATCCTACACACCTTGTCTTTGTGCAACAGCGCCTGGCAGATGATGTCTTCACAGATGGATGCGGATGGAGCCAAACAATGAAGCCTGTAAAAGAGTTCCACACAGGAGGTGTGCTGCTCTCTACGCTCTGTGTCCAGCTGGTTCCACAATACCTGGGACACCCTCTGAGTCGTAAAAAGAGAAATGAACACTGCATTTACACTACAGCTCTGAGTTACACCAACGTGCTCCCTTGTGTAGCCTAACCTGATAGAAATCTGTGCCTTCCTCTATGGCGCGAAGCAGCGCAGGGTGGATGGGTGGCGCGGTGACCATCTGCAGCCGCCCACTCAGAGGGTTAGAGTCAGATCCCAGGTAGCGCCTGTGCTTGTCCTGGATGACCAGTGCCAGGGACTGAGAGTGGTTGATGAGTTCCAACATGGTGGACACTGCAGTGTGCTGGATGTTGTAGTCCCTGGACAGGCAGCACAGCGTCATCAAGGACCTCAACCACACCGGCAAGCTGTCGATATGACGATCTGTGGAAAAAAATAGACGTAAAAAAAAGGAACGTAGCGGACAGCAGTAGTAACAACTCGATAAACATCTGTGTGCTGACCTGTGAGGTCAAACATGTCAGCATTGAGGACCAGAGTTTCGTCTTCGCTTAGGTAGACTGGGAAGGTGGTACACTCCAGCAGCAGGTGGCAGGTGGCGGTGAACGCCTGGCGGCAGGCCTCAGAGATCTCTGCCCGGCCGCGGGGCATGTAGCCAGCCGCCCAGTCCAGACTCCCTACATGCCCACGCTCCTTTTTCTTCCCCGCGAGGGCTGCTAAGAGCTGGGCTTCGGATTTAGCGTGTTTTTTAAGCTTGTGTGGAATGAACAGTTCGCTAAGCTTGTCTTTGATGTCACGTCCCCCTTTTCCCGGCAACAACGTCTTCTCATCCACAGAAGCCGCAGTCAGGTCGGGCTCGGGCCTTTCCTGCTGTCCCCCGACATCCTCCACCTGCACCAGCAAGTATCTAGAACATGATAGAAGTGAACATATTTAGAAATCCAAACTATAGAAAGAGGTCCATGTGGGGTGGATTGCTCATTATCTTACCTCGTGGTTATAAAAGCCAGGATGTCCTGCAGACACTGGCTCATGGTGTCTACACTGCCTCCCTTCCTCCACACTCCTTCGCCTTCTTTGGAAATTCCATTCTCCTCCTCCCTCATCCGCATCCCATGTGAGATATGCTGCTCTGAAGGCGAGGCGCTGATGCCCAATCCGCTGTCCTCCGACCGGAGTGCTGGAAAAACACCATCTGCAAGATCTGCTTCATCTCCTCCATCTCTGTTCATCTGTTCATCGCCATGGTCACCGTTAACCTCATTACCAACGGCATCTTTCTCGCCCGTCTTCTCTTTATCCTAGATACAGTATAATCGATATGAACACAGTCAAACATCAATAACATCAATGAAAAATAAACCACATTGACACAGACATTAAAATAACCCACTGGACTCCGTTTGCTTTCCTCCGTCGGGGATTGTAACTTGATGTCCTCGGCCTGTGCTCCTGCCTCAACGTCCAAATAAGCTACAGGCATCTGGATCTTGCTCAGAACCTTGAAGCATGCACGTAGACCTTGTGTGACATCTTCCAGGCGCACAAAGTCCATGTGGCTATGCAGGGTCCCCAGCATGGTGCCTAACATCTCCGGGAGGAACTGGGACTGGATGTCAGCATGAAGCTCCTGTGGGAAAACAAACAGTGTATATATTGGTGTATCAGGGGATGCAACGATGGCTAACAAAGTAAAAGCTTGCTTCCTTTTTAATTTATCTGTTTTTCTAGTACTTGTTAAAATCGTCCAAAGACCAATATCCTTTTTTTCTGGCAAAACACTTTGTCTTTTCTTTAATAATTAGAAATATTCTCTGCATCAATTGATTTTACATTTTTTATTTAGCTCACGCCTTTATCCACAGCGACTTACAATAAGTGCATTCAACCTAGAGAGTCCACACCCAGAACAACAACAAACAAGAAAGAACAATTTCTTCAAGAAAGCCAAACTACAAGTGCTATAAGTAAGTGCCATCGTAAGGGTTAATAAAATATATATATAGAATACATTAGATTGGGGAACTAAAAGGTGTCAAAGTGTGTGTCCGTTGTTTACCAGAGGGAGAACGTCAAGGAGAAAAATGATGAGATTGGACATCTCTGCGATGGACGGAGCAGAATGATTGCGCTCCTGTCGAGGTGGTGTTGGTGGGTCATTTTTGTCACTATTGAGCAAAGAAGGAGAAATAAAAACAGCATGTGTGGTTGCTATCCAAGGGTAAAAAACGAATCATGCTGATTTTTTATGGTCTTGGCTATCGATTATGCAAGCAAACAATTTATTCAATCCAGCTATTGGCTTTCTTTTCCATTATTAAAGCTATATTGTTTATCTTGCATGTTTCTATGTCAGTCCAATTGACTGTATAATCAACATCTGATGTCACAGTCATTCCTGCCATACCTGAGGGAAGTGCAAAAGTGTCGGGTCATGTACTCCCACAGGTACTCTTTGTTCATGGATGTCACAAGCATATTCACCGTCTTTATGATGTCCGCTGCATTTTTATTCTCTTTTATTGTACTGTACAGAAAACAAAAAAGGAAAGCACATTTCCTATCAGTTGCAATTTTGTCACATGTTTATTTGAATAAGTATTCAACAACTAACATCCTTGCATCTTTCCCCATCATCTACAGTAGATCTTTTACCTGGCTAGCTGGTTGCCTGAGAGACCTGTGCTGGCGATGTTTTCCTCCCCCACCATCTCTCGACAGTAGCTGTAAAAGGCCCGGACCACCTCCAGCAACACACTGCTCAAGACCACTGGACCTGTGCAGAAACGTTGGTATCCCGGTGAAGCGTGTTTAAAGTAAAGTGGCGGATCAAGTATTTCAGCCTTTTGACGTGTTTGTGTGCTCACCGATCTCTGGTTTATCCAGCAGGCTGATGATGATGCGAAAGGGCCTGAGGTACCCAATCACATTCTCAGGGTCGTTCTCCACATCCTGCTGTCGTAGGATGTTAATGAGAGCCTGAAGTCACAGGAACAAACAAATTAAATTAAAAGAAACGATATGACACTTTCCCAGACACAGACACAGCTGACAAAGATATTTTTGTATTGTGCTTCTGCTCAAATACTGTCCTAGCTGAAAAGTGCTTCAAATAAAAAAAATCCATACAGCAATAGTTTAGTTCAGATATTTTGTTAATTCACGATTCTCAATTTCAAACTTTAACAAACAACGTATATCTTAACTAATGCCCTTAAAAGTTTGTTATAGATGTTTTTTGCTTCCTTTGAACCAAGCGAACGAAGCAAGCGTATTCTTCCAAATATATTTTATCTTAAACAACATTGACGAATCAGGTTGTACTAAAAACAAACACCTATTTATGTATTGTTTAGGTTTTGGTGGGTGCTGCCAGGAGTGCGTTACCTGCACAAGGAAATCCCTAGAGTAAGTGCTGAAGTAAAAGGATGCATGTTCCTCAGTGGTGCTGGACAGGGTGGGATGCGGTGCCACCATTCCTCCTTTTTTATCCATCCCTGAAAAACACAAAGTACTGAATCAACTGGGCAACTGAGCGGCTCATTCATTACAGAAAAGTACTTCAGCGGTCAGGACCTAGGAGCCAGGCGTAGAGGCGTCTGTTGAGGGACATGTCTCTGCGAAGTAGAGTGAGTGCGGCAGCAGAAACCATCGTTATCATGTCTTTACCACTCATGGCAATACTGGCCTCCGCTGGGTCCTGAAACAACAACACACAGAGGGACATTTGGCCGAGGAACATCCAAGAAGGACAGAAGCACAGTGCTTATGTTTAATGGATAAAGAGGTAATCAATACGAGTGAGTATTGGACACAACTCACAAAAAGAATAATCAATACTTCCAAGCGGCAGATCACATAGATGTTGTCGGGAAAAACAGAAAGTAAGTGTTTGTATGTGTACCTACCAGGCACGCAGCAATGGGGAAAAAGTAGAGCAGGATTTCAAGCATGTTCCTCTGCACCAGGACATTCGAATCTTCCAGAGAAAGACACACCGACTTCATCTGAAGACACACAGAAGTCAAGAAGCTCACGAGGTTTAGACAAAAGAAAAGATGGCGTTTTCGGGAAGATTGCGAAATTAATTTGAAACAGGACTGGAACAATCACAAAGAACCACATCATAATTAAATGTGCTTCATCCTGCGACAGTGCAGTAAGACACACACAGACACTCACCACCAGTCGGTGGTCGTAGCCCAGCATGTGCGTTTGCTGGCGCGGGGAAGCTTTGCAGTCAAAATGTGTGACTATAAAGACGGAAGCGGGCAGTCGCACCATGGGGGTAACCAGCATGCTGCCCCACAGCGCACCATAGAACACCTGCTGACCCACCAGCAGCGACAACCTCAGCAGCAAGGCATCAGTCCTGGACAGAGAGTAGAGACAACCCATTGACATGTGTTCCAACGATGCATCCCCCAACTAATCGATATTTCTGCGTTGTAGGGCTGACTTTGGTTGGTGATGTCACATCAATCAATTCAGATAAAAGTCCTCTTTTTTTTCACTACAGAAGTGACAACGCAGCCTATGTTCGTCATCATGAAGGAACATATCCTCCAGTGCAACGGTGCAGGTATTTTTGAACACTAGGATCCTAAAGCACACTAGGATCCTAAAGCACAGATAAATATGTGTAAATAAGGATCAATTAATTGAGTATGTGTACCTGTCGTAAACCTCCAAACCCTCTTCCAGACCTGGCAGGAGTCCTGTTATGAAGGCCTGAAGACTGGGCAGCAGAGCCCTCTGCAGCGGGAGATAGTAACGCTCGTACAGAGTCAGCAGCATCGGCTTCACTGCCATGGCTGCATGACCCAACAGTGGGAACAACCCAGAGCTGAAAAGCAACACACGTTATTACATAAAACACTGCGCACATAAACAGGCTCTCTATCTCTTTAAACCAGCTGCAGATTCATGCCTGTTTCTTTACCTGTAAATAAAGAGGTCCTTGGCCAGCCATTTTGTTCCAATGATTTTAAATATGACCTCATAGGTCTCCAAAGCCTTGAGGTGAACTCCGCTGGGCAGAGCCGGGTGGAGGCACTGGGCGAGACGCTTCCCAATGATCAGCCTCTTGGGCAGGAGGGAGTAGCGAAGGTTACTCTGCAGGGCCTAAAAGACAGAGTGAAAAACACAGAAATACTGGGTTGGTCACTGAACAAAAAGATTACATGTTAAGTTCAAATGTGGCAGAGCTTTCATGTTAGATAAATTAAAAGGCACACTGGAAGAGATGTTGTGCATATAATTGTGTTAAAATGTTATGTGTAACAGATCTTTTTTATTTTCTTTAAATTCTTGTTGTACTTAAAAGGCCAAATGATTTTGCATCAACACACAGACACTCCAAAGTCAACACATTCTGTACAAGGGAAAAGAAAGGGGAAATATCTACAACACTCGAGCACTAAGGGAGTCTGAAAAAAAGAAGAAGAAAAAACCCAACTTCCTCATTAGGACAGAGAACTGAAACTCACAACAGCAGCTGTGAAGTTGACACCTGCCAAAATGTTGTTAAAAAACAAGACAGACCAAAGGTCTATAACGACAAGCTTTATACGAGGAGCATTAGAAGCTCAGAACGGGAGATCCAGAGAAAGCTATCAGCAGTTACAGTAAGGCATCGACTCCACCCGCTGCAACATAACATACCTTGTTGAGCTTTCCCAAGGAGGAGATCAGATCTGCCCACTCACTCGAAGACTCAAAGTTACGCAGCGCCTTCTCAATGACCGCCGCATAGCTGCGATAGCGATAGTCACTCTGCAGTTCTGACTCCTCGGGATCCATGGTACTTCAGTCTGATCCTTGCATGTTCGGGACTATATTTCTGGGTGAGAGGAGGGGGGGGAGGGGCAGGGAGAAACGGAGAGTTTATGGTGAGAGGGTATGTTTATCAGAAGAAGAAGAATCACCTCTGGGATATTATCAGTCAGTCTGCAGCCTTTCGTGCGTCCCTCTGCCTGTGAGGCCCGTCTCTGGCAAATAGAATTAGCCAATTAGCTCTCTTCTAAATAAAAAGGCGAGTAGTTTTCGAAGACAAATGTCCTCATTCATGGCTGGTCAGTGTTTATCTGACTGACCTGTCTCTCACTTTGGGGGAGGCAGATAACATTGTGTAGCAATGCACGTTCTTCCAGAGAAAAACAAGTTATGGACTGAGCGCAACCCGACAGAGACATATGGATCGTCTCTCTTGTCCTCCCTGTGACATTTAAACGTTTAAGTTTGGCCTCTCAGGATCAACGTGGGCAAAAATGAATATTCAACCACCTAATGGTGTTGTTATGACAACTGTCCCAAAGCAAAACCGGCATTCATTTTGAAGTTGTAGGTCGGGACCGCTGATGAATATAAGTTCAATATTCCATCTCTTTTTAGCTCTATATTGATTCCCATTAACTTCAGTCTGGCACTTATGCTAAGCGCTCCACTATGTCCACGAGCGTATGTGAACGCTGTCTGCTGCCGGGTGATGGAAGGAAGGGGGAAGCTTTTCCAGTGAAAACGCCTGACTGCTGCTCCTGGAAAAAGGGTTTAATAGAAAGCTCTGTAGCCGAGGAGCAGTCAGGTGACAATTATTTACTGGCTCATAGCAATGAGCAGCCATTTTTGCCTGTAGATGTAGATGTATATTTCTATTTTGTTTTTAGTCAATGTTAATTAAGACTGCTTTAAAAAAACAAATTTAGCAATACATTAGAAAATTAACACATTTTTAGGCTACAAATCCAAAAAATGAAAATATATAAAAACTATAACGTAAATATAGTGCACGATCCAAATAGGAGTAGCTTTCTCACATTCAAGCACATTATAAAGGCAGTGTTTGTACATGCATGGAGTGAATCAAGCTAAACAGAGGGACGGCCCGGGAAGTAGAGGCAGGATTAGAGGAGCACAGACATCTGGACTCTCTGTGCCTCAGCAGAAAGGAGCTTTACCCTCACGGCCAACAACACGTGCAGGGCGGCTCTTTGGTTACTGTTAGTATTAGTGGTGAAAACAACAGAAAGCTGACACTAATATGTATCAATACAAATTCAAATAACATTTGCTAAGATTAAAAGATAATACAGTGATTAATGTTTTGCGCAAACAAAAAAAAGGGCAATGTGGAAACAAATCCATTGAGTCTCTGTTAACTTCTAGAATTAAAACAGGAATGAATGAACGTAGGTTGGTATATTTATTGTAGAAGAATTCTTGTGTTTGAGTGAATCTTCAGTTCTCATGATCCTCAACCAGTCAGCAGGTAGGCCTCCACCTCGTGAGTGTTTCTCTAAATCATTTTATGTGCTAATAACACTCTTGTACTAAAGCATACTGTTCGGCGGACTGATTTAGTTGTCCGCCAGAAAGAATACTATAATGAACATTGCATGAAAAAGTGGGAAGTTTGCAATAAATGTTGACGGCACCAATATCTCTCACTTCATTTTTTATTGACCACTATCTTTGGGGATTTGCCGACTGGAATTTTTTGGTTAGGTTTGGTAATAATAATTTTCTTTACTCATTACCATGTTCTTTTCAATTTAATGTTTAGCTGCACTAACTACCACTTGTCGTCATCCCATTTTACATTCAAGCAATCGCAGTGTCGTCACTTCTTAAAAATATGTGTGTCAGGAAGTCATAGACATGCATGCCAAGTGGTTATTTACTTCTCACAAAAACTGTTTAATGACTTTAAAAATGTCTTTTCCCTAAAGGGCCACGTGAAAAACCCGTGACAGCAGTAAAATTCTGGCGCCAGCCTTGATACTGTTGGAATTACCTTTCCAATTATGTATTTTTCATTAACAGCCGTGGATAAAGTCATTGCAAAACAAACCATGCAGCAAATTATGCCCAAATTAGGTCGCAGTCCCTGCTCACATGTTCCTCCTTAGATCGCCAATAATTATGCCTGCAAGAGAGACTGCTGTATTTGTTTGCAACCTTCAAGCAAATGAGGTGTAGGTCATAAACCGGCGTGGACCAGACGCACCTAAACGCACCTTCTCACCTGCGCGTTGTATCTACACCGTGTTGTTCGATGAGGGCGGACCGGCGCACTGTGGCACACGTTGGACATTAAGTGGATTCTATTGGGAGACACAGTTGCAAATAAATAGAGAACACAAACTGTGCCAGAATGACAAGTTGTCTGCTGCAGCTTTTGGCCTGTAACCGCACTGTGGGATCAGTGTATTACGTAAGAGCACGACGTCGGACCGCATCATAACAGCCCTGCTTCCAAGACTAGCAAAGCAGAAATAAATATATGGTGAAATGTGTGCATTATTACATTTACCGTTATACTATAATTGAAACTAACCGTTATTGTATAGGGTAAAATTGAAGCTGTAGCTGGTTAGCTAACACCACAACGTAACGTTAACGTAATACTGAAACGCCACGGTTTCTCTGTAGTGTCATAAAATATAAATATGCTATTCTGGTTGTAAGAAGTCACAATGTGCCGTTCAGGCAACCGCCGTAAACAAAAATAACAAAAAGAGCTAACGTTAGCTACCAGGTGCATCGATGACTCACCAACCGCCGAACGAGCCATAGGAGCGCCGCTCCGGAGCAGCGACGGCGCGGTCACCGCGGAGCGTCATTCGAGCGTCTAGGCGACGTTAGCTGGAGGGAAAGAGGTGGCCGACCGGTCATTTGAGGGTGTCACTGAGCACTACGAGCGCCACGGGGCGACAGCCACAGCGGGGCGGGATAGTCACACTCAGCTGATCCAGACGGCCGAACGCAGAGGGAGGGTCCACTTTGTGAAACAGAAGGGGTTCCGCTGGGGGGAAATTAACCCGACGGATGAGGTGTTTGTCGATAGGCAGGTCTCGAGAAGGGTATTTCTATAAAATATATCTTTAATTTACTCGCCTGAAGCAAAAGTAAACCAGTTTCTCGGCGTGTGGCTTTAGAATTGAGAGGTGAACGTCACCGTTCGCTCCCCACGGGCTTTGGTATGATCCAGGATGTGCAATGTTTACAAACCTCACACCTCTCTGTCAGATAGTTGCGTGACTAAACAGAACACTAAACTGCAACCTCTGAACAAAACCTCACCCATAACTGCATTTATTGTGTCGTTAATTTGACATCTTACCTGCAAACCTTGACCAGTTTTGTAGTGAAATATATATTGAAGAGGATCCTTTTTACTTAATGGGAAAATACTGCTTTGAATTTATAGATAGATACTTTATTGATCCCTCAAGATCCCTTATGCTTTAAATAGAGGTTTTCTAATCAGTTCCAAAAACGCCTGTTTGATAGCATGCATTTGACATGTTAGCAAACACTCAAGCAAACACCAATATTTTGGGTCTGATACTGTTATCAGTTAATTAGTCCAAAGTCTGGACAAACAATGTACTGCAAATGATCACTCACTGTTGTACATATATGTTAATATCTTTAATCTTACTTTTACTAGAAGAGCTTGCTCAGGTTGTTTGAGCATATAACTTGTACGCAAGACTTTAAAGTACATGGTTACATCTCTAGATGGAGCTAATGCATTATTGGAACCTATACCAAACTGCCAAAAGGTATGTGGAAATATCAATGAAAATGAATAATTTAGAAGATCGCAATCTGGAACTATGCTTGTAATACACATATATTATTGACTCAACAATTCCAAACTTTTATGGCCTATTTGTAAAACACATGCTGGTGAACTGACAAATCTGACAAATAGTGGTCAAGATTCTCTTGTGTAAACAAATATATTGAAATTATTAGACAGGACTGACATTAAAATGACCATAACTTCACCATAAGGTCCTTGTGCACTGTAAACATGTATAAAAGTACCTTGTTTTATTCATAACAACCAAGCTGGACACAATTGAGGGGTTTTCAATGGGTTTAACTTCTGCAGAAATGGTTGGCTTTCTTCCACTTTTCACATTAGTTTAAGTGATTTCTTATCCTCTCTTACAAATCTGCCATGATTCTAAAATACATAATTCTATCCTGCATCCCATTTCCCGCTTCGCTCGTTTCCTCTTTCCCCTTATCTTTCAAGCTGAAAGAAATGTGCATCAAAACAGTGATATGAGAGCAACAGCCCAGCAATCATTATCTTATGTTTTTAAATGGGGAAAAAATGGGTAGCTGAGTAAGATGTTCCAATAAAAAATATTTGTATGTTGCTGTCTCCTGATATAGTAAGCTCAAATTAGCATTAGGTGCAACCACGTGTGCATGCATTTAATTTATTCACAAACATACACCCCTACAAACACAACCTAATTAATAATGAACACTAATGGTAAGAGGGAATAATTAAAGGCTCATAATTCAATCCTGTTGCATGCTGCAAAATACACAGAAGACATTCTGACAGAGCGCAATAATAAAACATGTTGACATTTAGAGGTATGAAGCTCAGTAAACATCATGAGGGACTCAGCAGATACGCATACAGAACGCAAATTACTTGTGAAATGAAAAGACAACAAAAATACTGACTGATGCAACCGCTGTTTTGAATGAGATTTAAAATAAAAAAAATGAAATACACGCTTTCCCTTTTATTGGTCAGCCCATTTTAACATGTCGGTGGAAAAATACAAATTGTCGTTTCGAGAAAGTAAAATTCCACGGGGCGCGGTCTGAACAGACAGAAACAGAACGTCGAACCAGGAGGCTGATGTCCTGCAGGCAGACGGGTGGTCGGGGACGAGGGACTTCTTCATGCACATCTGTCCTCCTCGGGGGCAGCGTTCAAAACAATGGAGGCGGGGAGCCCGCGCGTGGTCTCGTGCATCACGTCATACGTGTGGTCATGTGAGTGTTACGGCTGCGTTGTCGTTAATAAGAGGGAAATAATTACTGGTGACCTGTGTCAAATTACTAGGTTATCATTGTGGTGTATGCATCGGCCTCAGGTGGTTTAGAGAAGCGTTGTTGTGCAGAGAAGCCGTACGTGACGCAGTCGCCAGTGTCCTACAGCAGACAGTCGGCCCGCCCACAGTTTGGAGGAGACAGACCGGAGGACAGCGGTTATGTGTTAAACGGACGTCTGTTCCTTAGTGGAATGGTGATTCCCTCGTGCTACAATGGTAGCGCGTCGCAGCGGTGGTTCGCATTATGTACAGCGCGGGTTTAGTTTGTGGGAAACAGCGCTCGACCTGCACGGGGGCGATGTAAAGACGTCAGCTCAGCGTCACGCGCATTCAACATCTGTGTGGGTTCTCCCCCAAAGCAGCGAGAACTGTCGTGGCGACGCTCCCAAAGCAGCGACTACTGTCGTGACAACAGTCCCAAAGCAGCCACGACTGTCGTGACAACTCGCCCACTTAAACAGAGGCATCTGTTGTGCCAAGTCGTTGGCGACTCCACGTGCGGCGGCACATATTGTATGTTTTTCCTCACTCAATTTATACATAATAATTACATGAAATGCAACGATGTAAAAACGAAAACCGTAGCTTTTTTGCAGCGGGTTATAACATTATAAACGTTACTGCATACATAATAATATTCAAATAATATATGGCAGTATTGTATGAAAATGCTGAAGACTATCTAGACACAGGCATGTTTGTTATCTTAAATAATTATATGATTTTGAGTTCCTTCTTGACGTGCTGATTTCTTATTTATCATTGCTGAAAGTCACTGCAATTGCAAATCTGAGTTAAGTAGAATCTGCAAATCTTCCTGTGTTTCATAAAGCGCAATCACATATTTGACCATTTCATCCGTGATTTTTATCATTTTGTTTTATTGATTGTGATATAATGTTCAGTTTGCCTTTAAAGTCATTTATACACCTCCCTCTGTTTCTATCCTTTCTCAGAGAGGCTGTAAACCTTCAAGCATTTGTGTCTGTTTAAAAAAAAAACTCGTTTCACATTCTGCTCTAATAAGAGTTTTTTCTTTCTCTTTGCTGAACCAGATATTTGAACTCTAGACATTTGCAGACCAGAGGCATACAACGCCATCCTCCAAAGCTACAACCAACCACAGTGCCGTTGGATAAACGCCTCCGAAGCAGACGGTGGATACCACAGCGTCCAGACATCAAACCAAAACAAAGCATTTCCTTTTCCTCCATACGAAAAACATTCGTAGCCTTTTTTCTACACTAAGAATTTGTATAATTGTGATCCCTACTTCCAAGCATATATCATTACGTAATCTGTCATAATGGGTTCTGGAATGGAAACAGTGGACGTAGTTGTGGTAGCCCTGTATTTTGTCCTGGTGCTAGCCATAGGTTTTTTTGCCATGTGGAAATCCAATCGCAGCACCGTGAGTGGCTACTTCCTGGCTGGACGCTCCATGACGTGGATCGTGGTCGGTGCGTCACTCTTCGTCAGCAACATAGGCAGTGAACACTTCATAGGCCTGGCTGGCTCCGGCGCAGCAAGTGGCTACGCTGTTGGAGCATGGGAATTTAATGCACTTCTACTTCTGCAGCTCCTTGGTTGGGTGTTTGTCCCTGTGTACATACATTCAGGAGTCTACACCATGCCTGAGTACCTGTCAAAGCGCTTTGGGGGCAACAGGCTAAAGGTTTACTTTGCTTTCTTGTCTCTACTACTATATATTTTCACTAAGCTATCTGTGGACTTATTTGCTGGAGCTCTCTTCATTCAAGAGTCCCTGGGTTGGAACCTTTATGTGTCTATCTTCCTGCTGATTAGTATGACGGCTCTGCTCACCGTCACCGGCGGATTGGTGGCTGTGCTCTACACGGATTCACTTCAGGCAGTGTTGATGATTTGTGGAGCGCTGACCTTAAGCATCCTTAGCCTACTCAAAGTCGGTGGGCTAGAAGGTGTCAGAACCAAGTACATGCAGGCGGTTCCCAATGTTACTGCCATAATGGCCACCGGAAACTTCACCTATTCTCCTTCCTGCAGAATTGATCCTAAACCGAACGCGCTACGTCTCCTTCGGGGTCCTCTGGACGAAGACATCCCATGGCCAGGCTTCCTTCTGGGCCAGACCCCTGCATCTATTTGGTACTGGTGCGCTGACCAGGTCATTGTTCAGAGAGTACTTGCAGCAAAGAACCTTGCTCACGCTAAGGGCTCTACGCTCATGGCTGGATTGCTCAAGATCCTTCCCATGTTCCTAATAGTCATTCCGGGAATGATCTCCCGCATCATGTTTGTGGACGAGCTCGCCTGCATTGGGCCGGAGCACTGCGTATCTGTGTGTGGCTCTCAGGCCGGCTGCTCAAACCTCGCCTACCCACGCCTGGTCATGGCGGTGATGCCCGTGGGGCTCCGCGGTCTGATGATGGCGGTCATGATCGCTGCCTTGATGAGTGACCTAGACTCGATCTTCAACAGCGCGAGCACCATCTTCACCCTGGACATATACAAAACAGCTCGCGGTGAGGCTTCTCAGCGCGAGCTGCTGATCATGGGCCGCTTGTTCGTGGTGCTCATGGTGGCGATTAGCATTGCCTGGGTACCTGTTATCATCGACATGCAAGGCGGACAGACCTACCTCTACATCCAGGAGGTCGCTGGCTACCTCACTCCACCGATTGCAGCCCTGTTCCTGTTGGGCGTGTTCTGGAAACGGTGCAACGAGAAAGGAGCCTTTTGCGGAGCGATGACGGGCTTCGCGCTCGGTGTCACGCGGCTGATGCTGGCTTTTGCCTACCGCCAGCCTCGCTGCGACCAGCCGGACGATAGGCCCGCTTTCATCGTTAAAATTCACTACATGTACGTGGCTACCGGGCTTTTCTGGATTACGGGTTTGGTGGTGGTGGTGGTCAGCCTCTGCACCCCTCCGCCAGATGAGGAGCAGGTTCGCACCACCACGTTCTGGGGCGTCCGCAACATGAAAACGCTTCCCGTAGATGAGAAAAAGAGCCATTGCGGTGCGGACGGAAGCCTGGAAGAAGAAATGCCCCTAAACGTCAGAGAGGAGAAGTGTTCGGATGGGGCTTCTGTCGTGCCTTTGATCCCATCCACTGACCCAGAGACACCAAGCACAGAAACATCCCCCGTCACCACCCCTCCAGAAAGGTTTGACAGTGCAAAGATGGAGATGATCAGAAAGGAAAGTTGCCATGATACTGGGGAGACCAGCAGGTTTGTGCGTTTACTGGAATGTTTTTGCGGATGTAAGGAGGAAGCACAGAGCCCAAAGCGAAACGTCCTGCAGGAGGATGCCAGAGTCATTGCAGAGAGGCTGTACGAGCCGCCTCAAATCAAAGCTCTCCTCAACATGGGTCTGCTCATCAACTGCTGTCTGGCCATCTCAATGTATGTTTATTTCTCACTGTAGGTGAACTCTGAATTAACCGATGGGAACTGGCGTGGATGTCGTTTTATTGAGGTGGGAGTTGTGTGCGTATTCGGTGGCTATTAGCAACGGCTAAATTGACAAGCTCTGTGATAATGTTTTTCGTAGCTCTCTAACAAAGATCTGCAAGTACTCTAATCAGTTATTTTTAATAAGGAAAGCTTTTCCACATGAAAGCAATTGTACTCCTTAATGACTGTGAAGTTTATTTGTGATTTTTATGTATTCTATTAACTTAATATTTGCCTTATTTGACATTTTTTGCCTTATTTATTGCCTCATTTATTAATGTATTTATTTTTCTATTTGGTGACCGTAGTTTGTATGTAGTAAGTCAAAAAACATTAACGTTATGTTTGAGGACCTTTTGCGGTTTTGTGTGAGTTTTTGCCACTGAATAATAAATTATATTATATAATATATTATTTAACAATATTATTTAAGTGTTTGATACATTTTGATTAAGCCCTGTTGTCATTTCAAGGTTATCAGCAAATGACATCACAAACATACATGTTGTTTTCCTGAAAATAGTAGGTGGAAATGTCCTCTTATCTTCCCTTGGTAAAGTGTACTATAACGAAGCACAACGAGTTGAGTGCTGAGAACATTTACTTCTTTTTCTCTGCGAGACATCACCATTATGTGGGCCCGGGTGGACGTATGTCTGAGCTTACAGTCATTAGCTGGTATTTATATTTGTACCTGGTTTGCGGACAGAAGCCAATTTTACAATTTTACCCTTCAAATTAGATTTCTTTCATCTTGAGACGAAAAATCTTATTACTGTTCCACCATCTCGACAATGCTCATTATTCTGTTACATTTATCACTTAGGAGTGTGTCATTGTATAGTTCATTGTTTATGTGTTAGTCTGTTGCAAAATGTTAACATTGGGTATCATATTGATAATTTGATCACCCACAATATGCATACAAGTGTGTCAATGTACATTTAGTTACAGTCCAATTAATTGTTTCAAGTTTGTCTTTTATGAACTTGTTTTACCAAATGTGTCTTAGTATGCAATGCTTTGAGGATTGAGCGATGATTGCTGTGTCACTTTAAAATGTTGTCCTTCTCTCCGAGAGAATACACATTGTTGTTTTATTGATGTTGTTTTTAGAGGCTTAAAATAAAATTTTAAACTCAGTGCCCTTTAAGTTTTTTCTTTCTTCTTCTCAAGCCAGGTGATTTTTTGAACTACACAATATCGCAACACCTGAAGCGTGATCATTTGATTATCATTTGCCTAAGCATTGATTAGTTGTAGACCCATCTTCAGACGCCATCTCCTGCTCACGACGGTATCGACACATCTTATCACAACTCCAACGAAGAATTACACTTTTAAAACCAGATAGAAAAATGTACCTACAAACATGTATTTTAATATCTAAAGCTACTTGTTAAAGTACTACTTTGGATATCTGTACACAATTTCCCTTCAATCAGTAAAATAGTGGTAGAAATATTTAAAAAGTTTAATATTCAAAAAGTTGTTAAACTGTTTCCTGCATTGCCTTTCCTTCCCACACAGACGTCTGCTTACCTCTGGCCTGTAGACAAAGTGCACAAACTTTCCAGGACCTCAGCACTTTGCATCTGGGAAAATCATTAGAACGATCAGCTAATGCATGTTTTGTATATTTAATTATTAATGATCTCAAGATTCTCATAATAAGAATTAATTAGAAAGAATGGAATCATGGTAATTCTGCAACTGAAATGAAAGTGGTTTGTCTGATAGCATCAGAGACTTGTTGTAGAAATTATTTTGCTTGTTTGAATTTCACATCACAAAATTGATCTCATTTTCTTTGGGTGACAACAGAAGTCACCATGTAGGGACCCATTAAATACAACACAATCATTCTCCAAGCGCAGACCTGAATAAGCTATTTCAATTTCTAAGCAATGAGGCAAACTCTATCAACAGGTCTCATTTGTGCAAGTCACGATGATACTGGCAACTGATTATCAAGGAGGAGCATTGAACCGCCTACCTCTATTGCTCACGGTGATTTTATGCAAAACACAAAGTATACAAAGGCTAACCCCGTTTATTTTATTGGCAACCATTCATTTGAATTTCATATTATTTATTCAAACAGATATTGTAGTATTTTTCCATCACACCAACAAATTGAGATGCTTTTTCATCTGCTTCCCTGCGTTTGTGATGTGTGTCCTGCTCCAGCAAACTGCACAATATTTTGAATGGCCAGTTATGGTTACTCACACTTTCTCAAATTCCCTTGATTGCCTATTTTATTCTTCTATTGGTTGCATAAAATGATTAAGTTCTTGCAGTCGATGTCCCCCTTTAGGGTGCCTCCTCTGTGTGGCCAGATGAGCAATGAGCTGAATAAACACACTCGTCGGCCACTAAAATGACTTTCAGCGCTCCCTTTTCTTTTCAAGGCCATTAACAATTTGTATGCCTTACGTTTTCAAGGTCAACCCCCCTTAAAATCCACTGTTCAGCCAAACAGAAAAGATTAAAAAAGTAAACAAAGAATGAGCAGTGGTGTGTTTCTGTGAGCTGAAGATTTTGCTTCTTACTGCAACCAGCTGCTCTTTCCGTCGGTGCCTCTTTGTTTTGTTCCATTTTCCCTCCGAGGTGTCCGAGGCGACCGATTCCATGATTCGGCCTTTGAAAGCCTGGCAGAAGGTTTGTACAGAAAAGCTAAAAAGATACAACATTCTTTAAGTAATATTATTGTTGCCCGCTAGGTCTGCTTGTCTTGTTTTTTATATTACTTCAAAATCAGTTTTGGCACTGCAGATCTGACATTTTTCAGAGCTCTATTATGCTTCAAAGAATACAATTTGCTATCACAATGCTGATTTCTGGACGATAGCCGATGTTACTTATGGATCCTCTTTTTGAGCAATGTTTCACTCAGTTGTAAGAGAACTGCAGTGGCCGAACCACAGCCTGTGTTGGGTTTGTCTGTAATGGGCTTCTGTATAAACACGGTGCTCAACTCTGTAAAGAGGACCTGCTAAATATCATCAAGGAGTTAACATAATTATAATATAATGTTCCAGTTGTGTCAATAGATCCCGTGCCAGACTCTTCCTTTAAGACTGAAATGTCTGTTTTTTCACCTGTAGTAATTGGGCTACTTTAAATACATTTTTCTCTCTTGGACTTTATTTGAGTCTAGATTCAGTATCTACAATATACTAATAAACATTAAATATAAGTAATAAACTTGCTGAATTAAGCTTAAACATTTTGGAAAGTTCAGAAAAACATCCTTTGTTTTCCCTCCAACTAGATGACTGCATCTGATTTGTCCAACGTGACCCTTCAGCTGGAGGACTCCCTGTCCAGTGCTTTAGGACGTTACCTGGACAACTGGCGGCGTAACATGACAGCTGCAGCCAACGCTTTGGACAACACTCTGGCTGAGGAGAACTTCAAGAACGTCATCTGGTACCTAGCGGTGATGATTGGCATGTTTGCCTTCATTGTTGTAGCCATGCTGGTGAGCACAGTGAAATCCAAGAGGAGAGAGCACTCCAATGACCCCTACCACCAATACATCAAGGAGGACTGGACGGCTCAGATACAACAAGGCGATGTTGTTGCCAACTTTGGGGCTGGATAATGCGAGCGAGGGCCCTCAACCCACAGCACATCGTCAGGTTTTCACCAGTGAATCATTCTCATGGTCAAAACGTTTCCTATAATTTCCTATAATATGATTTAATAGATACTAGTTTAGCTTTAACTGCTCCTAATATTCTCGACTAACATCAACATTAGAACAGTGATACCCGACCCCTCTATCACAGCCATGCCATATGACGTCAAGCGTCACATCGTTGACAAATGTGTCTTTCATCTGATTTTTAAGAGAATGTTATCCAAAATGTATTTAATGTAGTTGACACATTGTTTCAACCCTGAAATAACGAAATCAAAAATGTTGACCCGCTGTCACACTATCATGACTTTGTGGGAAAGATCAGAGCCAACGTTAATGTTAATAGTGAAAACACCTGTACTTTTATTGCTTTTAACAATAACAATAACCCATTCGTTTTTGTGCAAAATGTACATATTGTATTCATTTCTTAAAACGCAATCTACATAGTTCATCTATTTATCTATATATATATATATAAACTGTGGCAAATACCTGCTGAGATACAGGGTGCAGATACAGGTATGTCCAGTTGAGAATTACTGCATGAGAATCTGAAACTTTAATAACACTTTCATAATTCAGCATGTCATACCTGATTTCTGCCTGCGGAGGACAGACGAGGCTCCTCTCGCAGCAGCTCGAGAACTATTATACTTGAGGTCAATAATGAAGAGGAAAAAATAACAATTCTGTAAGTCATTATAATGGGAAACATTCTTAAAATAATGCATTAGTGCCTCATCATTATGACAGTATCTCATTATGACATCATTTCTTAAACTGGCTTCCATGACAGTAGAAATAATGGTGAGTGTGAAGATACATGTTACACCTTAAAGAGTACAGTCAATGTGTAGGTATCGGAAAAGCAAAATGGGGAAAACTATTGAAAAATCAAGGAGGCACAAAAAACAACAGTGGGTCAAACCAAACTGCTGTTATATATAGACTATATTCAGTTTGTGGTGAGATAAATCATTGCACTTGTTAACCATGACACCACATCTGTTAAATGACCAAAGATTATTGTACTGTCCTTTGCACACCTGTTGGCAGATGTTACTTAAAATACACCAGCGTTTTCTCCTCCAAACAGCTTCTCATGGAATTAAATGGCTTGAAATAACTAAATACCCTAAATGTCTGGGACTCAACTCTCTCCTCCCACGTCACCGACATCAATGGGAGCAAGAACTGTACTAACTATGAACCCCTCCCCTCCCCGTCCTGTCCTATCTCTCTTTCTCACTCGCAGCTTTATTTTTAGCATTCAAACAACTGGTCCCTAAAAATGGGCCTGTCCTGCACCAGAAGTGGTAATGGAGCGCAGCTATGTATGGTATCCCCCCGCCCCCGCCCTCCCCCTCAGTACCTCACAGGCCCGGCAGTGCTCCTCTTTTGTGTTTTTGTCTGCGTGAGAGAAGGCGTGCATGCAGGAGGGCTCACGGGGGGAGAAACAGTTGCCAGGACCTGAAGATGTCTGTGGAACCTGGATTTGTCTGCACAGCTTGGGATGCGTGAGAAGTGCGACCGACGGACCAACTTTTACCTCCAACACTTACTGTAGCTTTGCCTACTTTTCCCAATACACGCGGCTGGGGTGACCTTTTTCGATTGTGAAATTTTAATACTGTGAAAAACTAAACCCCGCCAGCCGTTCACCCTGCGTGTGTGTGCTTGCTGTGGATCATGCTGTCCCTTTGCTTGTTCTTGCTCCATTGCCTGAGCCTGGTGCCTTTGGCACCGGCTGCGAAGGGCCTGGAGTACCCACAGTATGACGGGAAAGACCGCGTCCTAGACATCAATGACAAGAACTACAAGAAAGCCTTGAAGGAGCACAGCCTGGTATGCATGTTCTACCACGGGCCCATATCAGAGAGCAAGGAGCTGCAGAAACAACACAAGATGACTGAGTTGGTTTTGGAGGTAAAGTATAAGCAGAGGAGAATAAAGTAGTTGGAGAAGAGGTGCTGGATCACGTTTTAAAAACAAGACCAAGGGGGTTAAGCAGTGATCAAAAAACGAAAAAAGAAAAAAGAAAGGACAATTGTTGCTGCAAGAGACGTAGGATGATGGAAATAATACGGTTAGAGTGTACCGCCCTTATAATCAGACGGGCAACTTGCAAGACATAAAACTCCATCTCGATGTGTGAGTGCGTGTGAGTTTTGTCAAGGTCAACAAGCATAGCTCATACTCCATGGTGGACATTAGTCAGGTGATATGCAGTGTTGTCAAGGTTACCTCTGTTGCTTTAATTCACTGTCTGCTTCTCTTTGCTTCATATCACTCTGATTTTCCCCGAGGCTTTCCTCTGCTGGCCGAAATAGGCAATTCTTGCCAAGGACACAACTAACTCTGGTCTTTTCTTCTTTTTTTTCAAGCAAACTCAAACATTATTTAGTTATTTTGTCTATTGAATCTATTGTATTTGAATCCCTTACAGGAGCAGACAGTGAGCACTGTGTCCTCTCTCATGTTACGCATGGCTGAGGCTGCTCTCTGGTCTGTTGAGGGTAACCTGAGCCAAGTTGTGCATACCCCCACATTAGCTTTGCTTATTTGACACAGCACAGGTGGGCCATGTTACTACACAGTCATTCACTCATGTCACAGTTGATGTGGATATTGTCGATAAATGACACTTGCCCCTCGGGGAGGTTCTGCTCTTTATGTAGATACCACTTATTCCAAAGAAATTAAAGCATCAAGTGATAAAACACAAAAATAATTGACGTCATAATATTATATGACATTTCTGCCACCCCGCTAAGCGCTACGCACTGTTCCTTTAGAGGTGCCCTTGAGAGTTTCCTAGTAAACACACAAAGGGTAGAACCGTTTACATTAGAAATGTTATCCTTCCCTGCCGTTGTTGGTGCATTGCTATGTTTGTTTGCACAATTCCACCATCAACTCTCAGTGGAAGAGCTTGAAACTGATGGCAGGTTCGAATCTCAACGCCTACGTGACCACATGTGTGCATGAGGGTCTTTATGCAAAATGGAAATAAACAATAATTAATGGCAGCAGAGTCTCCATTTTCTAACCTACTGTACTTCTCAGAACAATTGCAGGAAAAACGACTGTAGCTTTGGCTATATTTAGAACCGTGCAGCTTGCACAATTATGTAATTGCATCTCCGTGGCCCCTGAGTAGCCAAAGTACTTCTGACGTTTGATCATCTTATTTTATTTTGTTGAACCTTAACTCAACGCTGCTTTCACACTACCATCAACTTGTTTCTGTACGTTTTCAGTCTCGTTCTTACCGTTTATTCCTTCATGCTCTGTTTCTTTTGGCTGCAGCTTGCCGCTCAGGTTATGGAGGAGAAGGACATTGGGTTTGGAATGGTCGACTCCCACAAGGATGCGAAAGTGGCAAAGAAACTGGGTAGGTATATAAATAGAGGACAGCCTCTAGCCATGGGATGTTTGCAAGTTCTGGGAGACAACGGCCTTCATCACAGATTGATTGAAGAGCCAAACAACTTTAAGAACAAATGCTAAATGTGTGTATTGATATGTAATCCCCTTCAATCACAGGCCTGGAGGAGGAGGGCAGCATGTATGTTTTCAAGGCCGACCGGGTGATTGAGTTTGACGGCTTGCTCTCGGCAAACACTCTGGTGGAGTTTTTGTTGGATGTGAGTACGCCGATTCTCAGCTGTTAGAAGCAATCAAAACCACGCTTGACAAAGTTCCCGAGCTCATCCCAGTGCCTCTGTCTGTTTGTCTCTAGCTGTTGGAGGAGCCGGTGGAGGTGATAGACAATCCTCTGGAGCTGAGAGCCTTTGACAGGATGGAAGTAGACATCCGCCTCATTGGCTTCTTCAAGAACGAGGACTCTGAGCGTGAGTGTTTGAGCCTGTTGGCGCGATGACACTTTTTCCACACTTTTAAATGGTACCTTACGTATAAGTGTGTGTTTAAAAAAAATGTTTTAACAAAGCCGAGCTTTTTTTGCGGCGAGCTCTCCGTGCCTCGTGCCTTTTATACTGAGTGCATTTTAACCCCTCTCATCTCCACGGATTTACAGATCCATTTTTATCACTGTTGCAAACACAGCTGCTGCTGCCTGCTTCCGTCTCTCGCGCTGTGGGAGAACTGAGTCTAGAGTAGTTAACTTGCAGCGAAGAGCTGCAGCTACAATCCCTTCTGACTGGTCAAAGTTCAGCTATTTCCGCTCCCTAATGTTCACATGTCATGTATACAACAGCCAAAGAAAACACAAAAAGATGTGTGACCAGGAAAACCTTCATGCTTACAACATGATACAGTCCAATAACACCGGAAAAACTCTCTTCTCCCTGCATCACCCGCAGACTATGAAGCATTTAAAGAAGCTGCAGAGCAGTTCCAGCCCTACATCAAGTTCTTTGCCACGTTTGAGAAATCTGTAAGTAACACACAAACAAACATGTAAAAGAAAAGCACTAAGAAAAGCACTCTGGAAGGATCCGTCTTTGTCGCCTCAGGTGGCCAAGGAGCTGACTCTAAAGCTGAATGAGGTGGATTTCTATGAACCCTTCATGGAGGAGCCCGTCACCATCCCGGGCAAGCCTCACTCTGAGGAGGATCTGGTGAAATTCATAACTGAACACAAACGGTAAACAACATTGAATTAATTACTCAAACAAATGTGTTTAACCGACTTCTTTTTAACGTCTATTCTATGGACACATTTTTAATAATTGAATGTGTTGTGTGTGCCTTCAGACCAACTCTGAGGAAGCTGCGTGCGGAGGATATGTTTGAGACCTGGGTGAGTGATGTTCAGCACCGATACTTTTGAAGTTAGTTTACAGTAACATTGCATGTATGACGTGTCTCCTCCTCCTCAGGAGGATGACATTGAGGGCATTCACATTGTGGCCTTTGCAGAGGAGGAAGACCCTGGTATGTCACATGCTATGCCACTATTATTGGGTTGGATAAACTAGAACATTTTGATTCAGACCCTGGAGTTTTACAGCAAATGGCTTGTTTACTTTCGAATGTTCACGCTCAGTCATCAATCAATCAAATTTTGATCAATTGAGAATAATACATAAATGAACAGCGAAGAATCTCACAAGGAAAATAGAAATTTTAGACAATGTAATAATATATATTATAAAAGCAGATGAAAGACAACACACCATTTCTAAAACAGAAGTAAATAAAACATTTTAAAAATGAAATAGAGAATGTAACACTCAACTAATAAAAATGCTAATTTTTTTTTTAATACACTTAATCACTTACTTGCTGATCGATTAACGTTACATGTCCACAGTAATTTGAATGTTGAGAGAGTAGAAGCAGTCGAGGGCAGCAAAGAAATAGCTAACCACGAATCAGATGTTTTAACAGATACAACAAAGGAGATTGTGTTTATCACGAAGCTTTCGATGTGTTTATAGGTAGATTTAGTAACCTTCAGAAAATAAAGCTAGCTGTTTCCTTCTGTTTCAGTCTTCATGCTAAGCTAAGCTAACTGTCTCTTGGTTTTTAGCCTTGCATTTAGGACACATACGAGTGGGGTCAATCTTCTCAATTAGCTCAAAGTAAAAAAGCAACAGACACAGTCCTGTAATGTCAAATTTGATCTTTAAGCGGCTTCATAATTGGTGAAATTGCTTCCAGATGGTTTTGAGTTCCTGGAGATCCTGAAGGAAGTTGCAAGAGACAACACCCACCTGCCAGAGCTCAGCATCGTCTGGATTGACCCCGATGATTTTCCACTGGTGAGCTGTCAAAAATAAAAAGTGGATAGATTTAGCTGAGAAGCTGCTTCTCTGATGTGATCTTTTTTGTTGTTGTTGGTGACCCCTTCAGCTGATCCCCTACTGGGAGAAGACCTTCAAGGTGGACCTGTTCCGACCCCAGATTGGAGTTGTCAACGTCACAGATGTGAGTCCCTGACAACCCGACAACATGTCCGACGTGACAAGAATGTTGTGATGAGTAAAGATGATGATGATGATGAAGATGATTGACCTCTCCGTCTGTGACAGGCTGACAGCGTGTGGCTGGAGATGGAGGACGAGGAGGACCTGCCCACCGCACAGGAGCTGGAGGACTGGATCGAAGACGTGCTGTCCGGCAAGGTCAACACTGAGGATGATGACGACCACGGTGATGAAGAGGAGGACGACGAAGACGAGGACGATGATGGTGAAGACGATGAAGATGATGGCGAAGACGATGAAGACGATGAAGACGACGACGACGATGATGATGATGATGATGATGATGAATGATGATGATGATGAGTAATCGAGTGAAGGTTGACTTTTCTGTTCTTTCTCTTCAAGTTTTAAATGGATCTCAGACGAACAATTGTACTGCTACATAACAATAAAACTATTTATAATAATAACAAAAATAATAAAAGTATCCAAAATGTTTCCTGAAAAAAACATTTTTGGGGGACAATGTAAATGGGCTTTTTATACTGGATGTATACTGGACATTTCTCACATTACGGACAGAAATCATTTATAGACACATTTTAATAATAAAGGCCTGTTGATATCAACCATCTATCTAATTCATTTCTACATTGTGAAAACCCATAGTCAAGACAATCATTACTGACTGACTGTTGGAACAGGTGGTTCCAAATCTTTCTACAAAACCTAAAAACAAAAAATGTAATATCCGTCTGCACTTTTACTTTTCTGTCTTGCTTTTCACCTTTTACCACCACCACTGCTTTCTCCACCTCGACTCTGCTCTCATCTTGTCTCCCGCAGAGTTTTTTTTTTCATATGTTCATGCATCCATCTATCTATTGATGGTGATCCATCAAATGGTGATCCAGAAAACACGTACACCATATATTTTCAGTCAACTGAGAACCCACAAATGACTGAGAAGCCATAAAGGAAAACATGAAAAGGACATCTAGTAACATGAACGTCACGAGAAGCTCAACTGGTGAAGTACAGCGGTCCATTCAGAACACCAGATGATCCAGACCTCACAAATACAGCTGGAAAGGCTGTAAAAGCCCGACCATTGTCATGGTAATAAAGGATACTATCACAAAGAAATGCAACAATCAAATGCCTTGAAAAGGTTCATACAAATATTTATTATTTTTACAAATGTGACAGTTTCTGTGAAAAGAAGACGAGGACAAAGCATTTAAAAAGCAACCTCTTTTCTTCCTCATGTTCCCTTTTTATTTCCAATGATCTCTCTCTCTTATTCAGGCACACACACACACACACACACACACACACACACACACACACACACACACACACACACACACACACACATAATTGGCCACACATGTACAGTATGCTGAGCACAACCTACCTTTAACTGAGGCACATGTGTAATAAAGAACTTTTCGCAACCATCAAAACTCTAAAAGCCTCAACAAAACTGCACCATCGGTGACCACGGTGACACTTGTGTGGATATAACTTTCAGCACGTACCAGGACTCATGAATACAAAGGATTTTAAAACTACAGATACTCACACAAATGCGATTAATGCTCAAGAAAGTGGTGCTGTTCCAGTAGCTGTAGTAAGGTGGCAGCAGTGTGGCAGTGAAACAAAACACTGGAAGCAGAAATACTGACGCTGGCTTCAGGTAATTTACACTTGTTCAAAACATTTGCCAGAGAAGTGAGCAAATTCATTTTGGTGAGATACTATGGGAAACTTAACCAAAATCTTTTACTACTTATGTAAGTAAAATGAATTTGGGCTATGCATTGTCTAATGCATTATGTAAATGTAGAAGAAGCTGTAAAAATACACCTCATGATGAATTAAGATAAAAAAGGAGGATACGTTTTTAAATTAAACAGCCCAAAGTGTCCTTTTTATAACAAGATATATAAGATCAACCACATAAATGTCAAAGCCGTCCAAACAGGAAGTATATGTCTATTAGCCTACAAATAGTTCAGTGTATACTGCACACACTACGGTATACATACATAACAAGAAGTCACATGTGTTTGCTCACAATCTATTCCCTACACCATCTATATTCAGCTTTACTGAGGTTGGCATTCAGTCAAAGAAATTCCAGTGATTTTGACATTTACGAACATGCCTTTCATCTATTTACAGTCCATTTATCTCCACAAATACAGACAAGGCTAAATCATTTTGACAAGGTAAAAAAAATCATTCAAGCAATGCAAAATTTGATATAAAAAGTCTGAAGGGATAAAGAAATATTCACATATAAATACTGTACATACATCTGCATTACGGGACATTTAAATAATCATTGCTGAGACTGAAAAAGAAACATTTTGGTGAGAATTGTTGTGGGCTTCATCAAATATCCTGGTCATTAAATCAAACACACTGCTTCTATCATGAACTCCCCCTGTGAAGACTCACACATGCTAGAGGAACACCTGAAATGTGATCTGCAAATAACCCAACAAGGACATCCTCCCCCCGTTTTCTACCTTTTAATGCTTTCGTGTTGACCGGAAGAAAGACGAGGACACGAGATATTTATGTGAAAAACTTACATACACATAGGTAAAAAACAACAACAACGAAAAACAGTACAAAAAGTCATTGTTAAAAAAATTCACTCCAAAAATGGTAACAGTCCCATAAGTCCAGATCAGCAGCGCTGGCCCACTGCGTTAAACTGAGGTTTCTGATTGGAGCAGCAGTATAAACTTGTGAGACTTGGGGTCGATGTACTCCTCGGTCAGTCGAATGTACGGGATGCCCTTGATGGTCACAGCTAAGCTAAAGTCAAGACACTTCAGTAGGAACTCTGAGCCCTCCTTTATGCCGCCGGTGACAGAAGCCTCGCTGACCAAAGTCCACTGGTCGGCCATCCAGCGCTCAGGGCCGTACTGCAGGGTCGGACCAGGGGCCAGGTAGGCCTCAAGGAAGGCCTGGACAAACAGGCACAGGCAAAAACACCACACGTTCCCAAGTCAAACGATTTGTTTGTTGATCCTTTGGCAAAAACGCTGTCATCGTATCCCCGGATTTTAACAAATACACTAGTAAAGAATATCCCAGTTGAACTAACCAGGGAATAATGCTTCACATCCTGTTAACATTTACATTTGAGGACAACACACTATATTCTTTTGATACACTATTTTGGTTATCTGGGCTTCAATCAAAACTCACCTTAGGACTCATGTTGTTGACGAGGCAGAATGCGAGGTGCGTCTGGATGCTCTCCATGCTGTGGCAGTGCTGCCTCCTGGTGGTGCGGAGGTACTTCTGCAGGGCCCTGGCCATGGAGGGAAATATAGCCAGAGCTGCCTCACGCACATCCATGATGTCGGACGGCGTGGCTTGCTCATCCTCTTTCTTCATCCGGCGGACATGTGTGAAGGCCTCCTCCACAGCCACCACCAGCCTGGCAGAGAGGGAACAGCAGTCAGCCAGCTGTCAGCTGGAATACATACGGGCGGCTAGTCCTCTCAACTAGTGTTGTTGACGCCAAAGTGTCTGTTACCTAAATGTGGCTTGCAGACTTGTTTTCTTTATACATTCTTTGACTGCAGGTTTGAATACAAATGTTGTACAGGGGTTCCAACTCTTGTCCGAACGAGTGTAGAGATCAATAAGCATGATGACGCATGATGACATGTGTTCCTGTGACTCACCTGGCTCTACGTTTACGGACTCTTCTCTCGTAGTCAGCCTCCTCGTAGTACAGCTCGTTGTGGGCGCTGTCTTTGCGTTTGGCGGCAGCTGTGACCATCGCTCGTGACTGATTCCCGTTACCAGGCTGCGCTCCTGCAGTGCTCCCTGGGGCTGCACCAAACGGGGAGGACAGAGGCAAATTGGTTGTATTATGAGTCGGAGAAAATAGCACCTGGCCCCAGCAGTGTCTCTGATTAATGGGCTGTATCTCAGTCTGAATTGTGGACAGAAAAGGCCAGATGGGAGAACAGCTCTGATCCCACACATCATTGGAGGTGTCAAAGAATTAGCAATTTGCCTGTTCAGTGTTAAGTCCATTGCAGGATTTTAAAAGAGTGTATGTCCATCTCTATAAAAAGAGGAAAATTCAACTGCAATAATTTTGCAGTTGAATTTTATATGCAGAAACTTTTATATTACAGTGTAGATTAAATATTCATTATTTTACACTTCAAAGGCCGTAGCTCTCGTCTGATCTGTGAATTTACTGGTTAATGTGACGAACCCATAAAGGGAGTAAATGGAGCTCGTATCAGTAGCAGTGCATTAGAGTTATATGGAGTTATATTAGTCCTGAGGTTTTACTACGGGGGTGTAAGGGCTGGTTCATATTAATGAACATCATAACAGTTTGGGGGAGAGTAAAGAGTAAATGCTGCAGGTCAGGTAAGGGTATTAATAGTTAATAATATGATCTGCATATGTGGGTATGTGTGCAGGTGAGAAATAGATACATATGGATGACAAAACAGTCAGCTAGATACTCTGGAACGAATGTGGTGAACACATTTGAAGAATTTTAAACATCTTTCATTGAGCAGAGCGACTTTGAATGACTGTGAAAAAGAAAGAGGGGGGTTGAAGCGTGTGCAAAATGAAAAGGAAGACGGGAAGGGGGGAGGGGGAGGGGAAGGGGGGCAGCTGGAGACAGGCTAAGTAGGAGAAAGGAGAGAGATGTGGGAGTATGTGAGGAATGAGCGTTACTCTGATGAATTATTTAAGGCCTGAAATTCCACGGCTCCCCAGAGGCCTCTCCGCTGCACTTTGATAGCGTGGGGGGCTGGGAGGGAGGGAAGGTGCTGTGAGGACAACGTTTCCCATACTGCACCCCTGCCAAAGATCATCAAATCCACTGTGCTGCGTTGCAGGTAAGGATTTATGGGTGGTGAGGACCATTTCACAGCAGGAAAGAGTGCAGTATTACATTACATTACAAGCTGTGAGTATGTGGGTGCAGGGAGTCAATATATCACGAGTGTTGTAGTGTCACCGTTGGAGTTTGTGAGGGTCTCAGTGTGTGTGTTTGAGTGTGTGGTAGGAGTGGTTTCAGTGGATGCAATATATACCCCGTCGGGGACCGAGGCTTCCTGTCATAACGTGCTGGGTGGAGGGATGCTCAGGACTTTCATCTATACTTACTGTCCAAAAGGTATTTTCTCAGTTTGCTTTTAAAAGCTGCTCGTGGAAGGGATGGAGATGGAAAAGAAAACATCACGTTGTAGTAAAACAGGGATATGCGAAGGAAAGAATATAGGCTATAGACGTCTAGGTGAATCTCTTGACTATTTCAAGCAAAACTTACTGTGACAGACTGGCCACATCAAGCCGCTGAATGGGTCACTTTATAGGCTTAAGACAAGTTGGGTTTTGCATATGTGAAACTACCTACAATCAGGGAAATTGGCCGCTCGGAACCATGAAACCCTTTAGAACATCAACAGAAATCAGAAGAAATGTAGAAGTTACTCATTTGACTAACCATCCACGTTGTAGACCTTCAACCCGGCCAGGTGTTTGGCGGCCCGGTGTTTGGAGGCGGACAGAAGGGCCGGGTTGTGGAGCGGGAAGTCTCTGTAGTAATACTCCAAAATGGACAGAGCAGCCTTTTGAACACTGCATGAAAACAAAGAGAGACGGAGTGGTATAAAATTAAATACACAACAAATAATATTTTTTTCCTGATGAAACCTGAAACGGATCCCTTTGTTATGAATGTGTTGCTTCATTTCAAATATGTATCCTTAGCCTGTATAAGCCTTCTGTCAGGGTTTCAACCTTCATCCCAATAAAAAAAACATGACATTTTCAGCCTCATCGCACAAAGCTTGTGTAATTAGCACAGTTGTCTCATAGTCCTGTTGACGTCATACGCTGAAGAAAGGCAGCCATAAGATGAGGGCCTGTGTGCACTTTGCCATCCGCACCCTCAAGTCCTAGAAACGCTTGATTAAACTTGACGGGAGGCTGATGAGTAACTCAATTACCTCCTGTGCCAGTCTTCTCTGTGAACGATGTGATGTTACACACACACTTCCACAGTGTGTGTGTCTAACTGTGTACTGTACACATGAGTAAAATTGATAGTTTCTTCTTCATTCCTCCCATTTCATTAGTAACTACACACGTACCTCAGCTGTCCTATGTTGTATTGGCGCGTCTCTCCGTCTGTGGAGCGTATGACACACACGGTGTAGCAGGGCTGGAGGTGACGTAGCTCCATTAGCACCACGGCCAGGTAGTGGACAAACAGCTGGGAGTCCACGAGGGACACAGCAAACTGGACTATCCCATGGTAGTCCTCATCCTATTGGACCACATGACCGTAAAAACATTTACTGCACCAAGAAAAAACGTTCTTTATTTGTATTTCCGCCTACATTTACCTGGAAAAGTGTCATTGAGGTTAATTATCTAGCTTTCAAGAGCAAGATAATCAGCAGTGGCAAGTAAATTATGTAATAAACACACAGTTTTGAAAGCATTTTCCTCAAAACAACATTAACCCCTTTGACATTAACTTACCTTGAATGGCTAACATTTACGAAATACTGTGTTACTAAGGAAACGCTCTCAAAACGCACCTGCGCATCAAGGATCCGGACCCCGAAGAAGAGCCAATAAGACATGGTGAGCAGGAGTGTGAGTGTGGTGAGGAAGGCGCGGTACACACACACTCTGGGCAGGCTCGCGCGGCCCGGCTTGAGGAACAAGGCCCACATGGCCATGAGGAGGATGAGGAGCTTGAAGGCGATGGAAAGAAAGAGGCCCTCGCAGGCGGCGCCACAAGCCTGCAGTCTGTCGGGCCACATTAGAACCGGAAGGAGCAGGAAGGCCAGGGGAGTGGCCAGCACCATCAGCGCCACAAACGAGCCCACGGCCAGCGGAAGGTAACGCCGGAAGCCTCGGGTCCGGTCTTGCATTTCCTTCCCGAGTCCGACCACATCCTCCTGGGAAATGCTCAGCTCGGAGGTGCCCGTCACCGCGGTGGTGGTTTCCCCCCAGTTATCGTCCTGAGGAGGGAAAGAAAGGAAAGGCAGAGGAAGGGTAATTCAGCTCAGGGATCTACGGATATTAGATTGTCTATGTTGGCACTTAAAGACACAACACAAAATAAATAAAATAACTCACGTGGCATATTCTCTTCCCTTATTAAGCAAACGCATTAAGCAATGAGCTGAAAGATGCTTATATGCTAAATGTTAAACTGCTGTATGAGGAACCTTTCTTACATTTGTCGTCACTCGTCACTTTGTCGTCACTCGTCACTTCGTTACTTGTTCGCAAGTGCACTTTTTTAATATTTAAAATTTTTAACTTTAACTTTATTCTCTTGTTTTATACAAACCCATAGCCTTATTCTACTAACCCATTGCATTAGAATTTAATTTTTTTTATTTTATTACTTGTGCACTGCTGTCTTGTTGTCTATTGTCACACTGTCTACTGTCACGCACCAACCACCAAGACAAATTCCTTGTATGTTTGACATATTTTGGCAATAAATGTTTCCTGATTCCTGATTCCTGATACATTACCAACAGTTATTTGATCCACTGAAAACATTTAGCAGCCCGAACAGCTTTAAATGTAAATAGTCAATGTTGTGTTCAAAGAAATTCTGGTCATATTTAGGTATTTGGGTGGGGAATAAAAGCAATCATGGATTTTATGCAGCTTTCACATGGACATTTTTCTGGGAGTTTTGCTTCATTAAGACATGCTTTCAAAGTCCCATTGAAGTAATGCAAACTGACAGGTTGAACGTTCACTTTGGCAAGAATATGCCAACATGTGCGTGTACTTACACACACACACACGCACAAAAGCGGGAGCTTGTTTTTCTTTTAGTCAGAAGGGTCATTTTTTGCATAAATATTTTCCAGAAAGAGCGACAAGGCGTATAAATGAATGACAAGTCTGCTCTAAAGAGGATTTTCTTTTTTCTGATGTGCCTGTCATTAATTCGGGTAATTAGCCATGCTCTGTTCCCCATGTGTCACTGCATTGTAGATCTCGCCAACTACAATCACTCACAGGAACAGCAGCTGCAGAGAGACAGGGATGAGGGCTAAGAAGAAGACAAGCTGAACAGACACACACACACACACACACACACACACACACTGAAGCCCAACAACTGCATGTAAAGCCCAAACCTAGAGGCATATGGGCCTAATGAAGCTGCAAAGAAACCAGACAATAAGTGGCAACGCAAACAGAAGGCGCTCACTCTAGAGTGAGTATTCCACTGTGAATTGTGCCTTAGAAAGTGAACATAACTTGCATATTTGTGAAATAGGAAATATGTGAAATCGACATCATGTTGTTTCCAATCAGGAAAATGCAGGATGAATCCTGCATAAATATGAGTTCTGTCCTCCTTTACTGTGCACAGCTAATTAACTCTGCATGCCATGCTGGAGGAGGGGAGGCCATCAGCAGCCAGAAGATGAATGAGCATAAGAGGATGTGAGGGAGGGAAAGTGAGAGCGGGAGGGTGGCAGTGGTAGAAGGTAGAGTTTGAGGTAGAATTTAATGGATAGCAGTGAGAAAGGAGGTGGGGGAGGATCCAGAAGCAGCGTTTTATTCTGGGTATCTGCCTGCCAGAATAATGTGCGAGGCCAGAGGTCCCCCATGTAAGTGCACCGTCAACTCCATTTAGCCATTTAGCATCCAGTCTCATTTCTATTCCTCTCACATCTCTCCTCTTTCACTCTTTATTTTAACAGGGTCCAGAGGAATAAGTGATAATACAAAAACAATATCCCATTAAGCTTGACTGTTCAGTCTAGAAACAAAGGTTACCAATTAACGCCCTTTAGAGTGGAGCATATAACACATTATTAAATGCAAAAGGAGTTTTCCACTAAAGTTGGATTTTCATGCAAGTAAAATTGCAATTGGACTTCCCTCTGATTGGATATGGAAATATTGTTTGTTGTTTTAACAATTTGAATTCATGACCCAATCAGATCAGAACGGTAAACTGACTGAATCTGGAGTTTGGCTGTACAAAACCACAGTGAGCTCAAGAGAAGCTGAGTCAACAGAAAAAAAGGTATTTGTGTCACTCATCACCAGAGGTCAGCTCTGAGGCACAGTTTAGTTTCTTGCCGGCTGAGGAGAGGAGAACAAATAAATTATTGTTGTTTTATTTTTATGTTTTAAAAAAAAAGATATCTGCTTTGGTGACGGAGGCTGAACTACACGCAGAGAGGTAATTTATAAATATATAAAACCAGGTGTAAATAACAAAAGAAACAACCCGCTGTTGTGCATGCTGGCTCATTGACGAGGTTAAACGAGGCACACAAACGGAAAAGATGAATTGACAGTGTAACGCCAGTGCCTTTGCTGGTTGCTTTAAAGGACAATATTCAGGTAAGCGATAAAAAAGATGCTTTATACGGACGAGCTTTCATGCTCACGTCTCCTCTATAGAGCGCAACGGCCTTTCACTTAGCGAGAGCTAATACACTGTTAAACGCAGCCATTAAGTCTTAGTGGATTAATCCCAAAGATTAACGCGACATTAATCAAGCCTGATCTCTACATACAGTAAAGAGTAACTGAGGGAGAATGAGACAGAAGAAGGGTTGCAGGAGTGAGAAGTGTGTGTGTGTGTGGGGGGGGGGGGTAGCATGGCCGCTGCTGCTTGCTTGGCAGGCTTTTCATCTGGCAGAGGGCGAATGTGGATTATGTTTAGGCCTGTTCCACCATCCCCAAGCACAACAACACAACAACATACTGATTACCCCATTCACACAACTACTACCACAAAAACACACAGCAAACAGTCTGCCGGGGAGAGCAGTGGCTATCAGGCAGCGAGCGGCGCTGAGACAAGCGTAAGTGGTTCAGCCCGTACGAGCTAACGTGTAATTTGAATTCACTGCCTTCTGGCAAAAAGTCCCAACGTCTCACAAAGCAGCATGGACGGTCTCAGTGACAGCCTTGGTGCTCTCTCTATTCCTCTCCCACGCGCACGCATCGACGCGAACGACCGCACACCAGAGATATAACTTGAACACAACAACAATCCGGAGAGGGGGTGGGCGGTTTCTCTTTTTTTCTGGGGCATTTTTAGATGCGCTTTCGCTCACAGCCCGGTTGGGGGGGAATGCTAAACACAAGTGGGGAATAATTGGGTTCGGAGGCCCTTTATCTGTGTTCAACCCCCCCCCCCCCCCCCCCCAACCCCCCCAGACTGGTGCTATTTGTCTGAAGGGCTAATGCAGTACAATGGCATATTACCTTACACTACGGACAATGGGCATCAGCTAGGAGCTGACAGCGCCGTGACATGCTGGAATGTGGCTGCCCAGCCGGAAGGGGATGCACAGCAGAGACGGCAAAATGGGTCAGACCTCTCGAAAAAATTGTCAGAAGGCCTGTCTGAAAGCATGTCCATGTCATAATCACATTTAAAAATGTTCTACACTCTGTAGTACATCTTCTTCAAGCAGCTTCAGACCTCAGCTTCTCTACACACACACACACACACACACACACACACACACACACACACACACACACACACACACACACACACACACACAACTTTTTCCCTGACACACAAACAGCACATACAAGAGGACATACGCCATGAGAAAATGCTCTCTTGCTATAGATTTCAAGTAGGTCAGAGAGCCAGTGAAAGTAGCCCGAGGCAGAGTCTTTTCCCTTCATTTGGTTGTTTTTCTTTCCTCTTCTCATACCCTTTTCTTTGACTTTCATTGCAACGTACGTGCTCATCTGCATTTAAAGGAATAGACATTTGGGGTAATATGCATTCATTGCTCAAAGCAAGAAGGGCAGATCGATATCACTCTTATTTTTCTTGCAGCTTGGAGCTAGTAGACTTTTTGCTTCCAGTTTAAACTGGAAACAGCTCTTTCCAAAGCTCCAGTTTCTTTAATACGCAGTAAAACCCGAAAAGGTAACAACAAGTTTCTGTGTTATTAGGGGAATGTTTCCCTCTGTGTCCAGTCCGTGAGCCACATTTGAGTGCATCTTTAATCTCTGCGGTGTCAGCTTAGTGAAATATCCATTCTATATTTAAGCTGCAATATAACAGCATTCTGCTTCCCTGTGTCTACTTAAAACCTATTTTATTGTAGAGCTCAGCTTTATGGAATGACTGGAATCAATTTGCTCTGCTTTCAAAGCGATCAGGTCTGACAGTTATACCCAGTACAACACACAAACACACACACACGCACGCACACAAACACACACATACACACACACACACACACACACACACACACACACACGTGCAAATCCGTCCAGACCTACAAGATGGATGCTAAGCCTTTGACCTATTTGATCCCTTGTCACCATTGTCATCATGTGTCAGGCGCCGTGGCAACGGGCAGCCAGCTGCTCTTAGGACGAGTTTATAAGGTCACGGGTTCAGAACGTACTCAGCCTTCTGATTTTTCTCTGTAGGAATAAAGGACTATTCTCCCTAATCAGCCCACTGTTTGATGAGTGATCAGTTGTCTCGGACACCGTGTAAAATACCTGGCCCTCGTCCTCCTGGTCTGCTGTGGACGTGGGCTCTCCTGGCAGCGGCTCTCCATTGTGAACGGGGGAGTCCTGCGAGGGCGTGTCGGGGGGGTTGATGACGACGGACCTCTCGGAGCGCGTGCTGTCTTTGCTGCTGCTCGCCTTGTGCCGCTCACGGCTTCGATCGCTGGGGCGGAACAAACAAGCGCAGGAGGAGTATAGACGTTAAGATCATTAAAACACATTCTCATGATCTTATATGTGTATCGTTGATTGAGTCTGGAGATTATATCCTCGATTACCCGTTTCGTCTATAAATAGTGTTTCCAAAGCAATTCAATTACTCTCACAATTTGCCAGAGCCCAAGCTGATGTAATCAAATTTCCTGTTTCCTCCAAGCCACAGCCCACAACCACAAAATTCGGTTAACTTAATCAATAACTTATGTGAAAAAGAAAATCCGAAAATATTCATATATGTAAAGCTCAAACAACCAAGTGTTTGTTTGATGTATGAGAATCATTAAAATAGCTGCTCATATCGATCAGAGAATCATTAAAATAGCTGCTCATATCTATCGATCAAAAAATATTTTTGGGTCTAAAATATACTCAAACACAAAGACACACACGGTTGAAACAAACGATAAAGTGACAGGAGACAGCAGTGTTCTATAGTGAAGATAACAGCAAGCTGCGGTTGTAGTTCTTTGCGGGACGGACGAAGTGAATCAGGGAAATAGGTTGGATTCACTCAGCTGTGACGACCCGAATCCACCAGCTCTCTCTGTCTCAACCTCCAGCTTCTCACTTTCCTCTCAAACTCATCCGACATCAGCCAACACAGCAAAACAGGAGACAAACTCAACGTGCACTCGAGTGATTACATGAAATACAATATCAAACGCTGGGATTGCGGCTTGTGACCCAGCAGAAATCAGCTGTACAGGAAGGGAGACATCGACCGATAACAAGAAGAAAAGACGGAAAGGCGGCCAGACAGGAAACGTACCCGTGCCGGTTCGATCTCCCCGAGCGGCTGGAGTGATAAGAGTAGCCCGAGTGGGTCGACTCGGTGTCCATTCCAGCGCAGTACGGAGCTGGCTATTGGCCAGGGGGCTGGGGAGCGACCGTCGAGTGGCAGAGAGGGTTAGTTGCCAGCAGCGCTCAGGAGGAGGAAGGGGTTGCTATAGAGACGGGCCTCAGGAATCCGCAGCGACTGACAACTACCCCAGATAGCTGATTTAGTAGCCACATTGACCTGCAGGGTGGGGAGATAAGAGGGTGTGAGGCTTGCAGCAAATCATGTTTAACAAATAATACATCAGATATATTAGCCAGGCCATACAAGCTTGAGTGATAATCTTTCAATGTATTTTACATTTTTATTATCTTATTAAATATCTATCCTGGCTGTATGGACTTGTCTTCAAAATGTATTGTGAATTTCAAAACTACATATTTGTACAATGCAAATTGGGCTTAATAATAATGGAATAATTTACAAGACAAAATGTATTTGGAAATAGGCCAAACCAGACATTGAAATCCCATAATTGCAATATGTGTAAACTGTATACAGTAATTAAATAAACAATTACATCATGATCCAACAAACACACTGCAGGAGCGGAGGGAGAAAACAAAGACAATTGCAACTAGTCTCAGAACAGATCGTAAAAGTCGAATAAAAAAAAGAACCCACCATGTAACTAAATGAATAAATAAAACAAGGATATAACTCTCTTTAATACCGTAACTATGGTCCATTTAAAGCATAAACAAAATGTTTTCCAAGTGATAAATTATCAGTACGAGTGAACCCTCCATTTTGCCATTCCTGTTTAAATCATTATGAGGATCAGACTCACTTTCTGGCCCCGCTGTGTGATGCACGAGGATATCTGCACCAGGGCTTCACCATGCATGACCATTCATTAAAACCTCAATCTACTGTCTGCTTCGCAGTTGTTGTCCTGACAACCACGTGTCATCACCATTTCCAGCCCAGTCTCATTTTACTGCCCCCCCCCCCTGCACACCACCATTATCTACCGACTATTTGTCGACTCCGTAGCCCATGGTGGATATAAAGAGTTACAAAAAGCATATTCAGCACATCAGTATCTGAATCCACGCAGCCGCATGGACATCATGCTCTGTCTGAAAATAAAATAATGGGCTACACAAAAATGCTGGTTTCTCTGAGACAGAATATAGTATCGGTTTCCACAGCTACATATGTAGGGCAGCACACGCTGAACACGGCAATAATGTTGTACTTGAACATAGCGCTCACAATATCAAGGCTGATGTCCCGGCAACAATTTTATTGCACAAACCATTTTTAACAGAGGGAAGTCACATCTCTCATTTATAACCCACATCTGGAGCGTCTACTGTTGCCTTGGCAACACCGGAGGCCCTATCTAGGAGCAATAATCAATCACCCCTGCTGGGAGTAAATTTGTGTTATGCGTCTGTGAGAAAGTCAGAGTGAGCACAAAGAGCAAACAATGGCTTCTCATTGCACCATATGGTTAAACGAATAAGGCAATGATTTGAATAAAAGCCGTTAACCCCCCGAGTGCTGATCTGTGAAGGCGTGGCAGTGGTATGTGGGCCAGGATGATTCCTCTGAGGACCCACTCATCCACGAGACGAGCCTGAAGAGGCATAGCGAACCAGGCCATGTGGAAAATCAACGCCGCGGGGCTAGAACAACTATCAGTTACAAACCAACGGCTAACTATGAATAAAGCATAACAACGTGCTTCAGAGGCCTTGTTCTGAGTCAGATCGTCAAAAAAATCCAGTGGTCCTCTGTGACGGACTCTGCGCGGTTAAGGGTTTCTCTATTGAGACGGGGAGGCTTCGCTGCAGAGCGTTCTGGTTGGCTGCACTGTGGAGAGATTCACAAGGGCAGAAAGTGACACTAATGTAAAACCAACACTCATTAATGTGTTTGTTTAGTGGATGGAGGCTGTTGCACAGTGGGGGCTACTGTAACTACCCAGGCCCAGAGGTACAGACTCATGATGGTGCTATGATGGACTCATTTTTTTCAGATTATGAGGAGAAACAAGCAAACAGAATGCAATATTGCAACAAATATGTGCAGCAGTCCATTGGGAGACCAGTAACATCTGACGGATTAGGTTGGTTGTCCCATTTTCCCCGCTGATCCAACTCATCAATGAATAACAACATATTCAAATTTACAGATTTTTGTTGAATGTCCTTGGCCCTCTCAAATACGCTGTCCTCCAAAACAGACAGAGAAAGAGAGTGTGGAATTTAAGATTTGCATCAAATACCCAATTGATTGCTGGCACCCTGGATTGCACAGATCAGCCTCGTGGCTCATCTGGAGCACATGATGAGGCCTGGTTACCATGGCATCTGTGCCATTCTCCATACCCATTAGTGCCTTCATTCCTTCATGCGCACCCTGCACTGGTGTCATTATGCCACAATCTGCAGATGCAGCAACCGGCAATCTGCTGTGTGGGTTTGCTTTATCATTTATTCAGTGGTATTAACTGATAACCGTGCAACACCATTCGTAGTGATTTGTAGCGCAGGGTGACATCTCAAAGTGCAGCCAAACAGTACTCAACATACCATCACATCAGATAAAAAGACACAATTGTTGAAATTCGGACGTGTCTTTCCAGCTGTATATCATTTTTCTATAATGAAACAAAATCTTTGAAAATTGGCAAATAATACACACACAGTGTGTGTCACAAGTGAGTAACACAGTCGAGTAAGCCGGGTGAGACCTCTTAGAATCAAACAATAGGTGACACACTGTGTGCCAGTGTTATTTATAGTGATAACAATCTCCAATCCCCTCATGGACTTTGTATAACCTCCAGGAACAGCTGCTGATCAACACATTGTAACTGTTTGACTAAACTCCCGTAAATGAAGCCAAAGAAGTAGACATAGAACTCTTGTTGAGATTATTTTGTGGGCTTCGCCAATGTACCAGGGATGTATTTAATTAGGAGCTCATTTCAGTAGCACTTTCCCTCCATTGTTTGATGTATAACTCTTGACATTGTAGTCTTGGAACAAAGGTATTTTTCAGATATGTGAGGAGAGCAAACATGTGACGTTTGAATGACTGGAGAGAATCTCAAACACACTGCTGTTCTCACACACACACACACACACACACACACACACACACACACACACACACACACACACACACACACACACACACACACACACACACACACACACACATGCTCAGTAAAAAGAGAAGCTTTGAGGACTGACACATTACTCTGGAATGCAATCTTAGTCCCCCTGGTCTGCTCATGTGGAACTAAATACAAGTACAGTTGGAGGAGAGGGAGTGAGGGGGGTGAGAGAGATAACTCAGTACATTCCTACCTTGGGAAAAGTGCTTGTATGCATGTAAAAACACTTGTGTGTGTACACTGATCTATAAATGCACCATGCATTATATTGGCTGGCCAAGCTTTGCATGACCCTAACACTCCTCAGCAGCCTAAAGGTAAAGCTCCACTTCTCCTTACGCTTGTGGCTGTCTGCCCTGCCTGCCATGGTTTAAAAGGGGCGATGACAAAAGCCTCGCTGACAACCCTTTCCTTTTGATCATTCGTGGCAAGTATGGCCTCCATGGGAATAAGTCACCTATTCAAAGGGTGGCCATACCTCAAACGTGCCCTCACGGCTCTCTGCTCAGGACCTATCAGCACGAATCAATAATACATGACTGCAGGTGCACCACGGCTTCACTGCAGTACCGTGACTCCCAGACGCTGGGAGAGAAAGCGCCGACGGTGTCGGAGGAGGCACGTAAAGTGGCTTCAGACACCTCATCCAGCTGTGCGCCCTGTGCAGCTGCAGGGCGATGGCGACACACGCATACATCACCTTAACACGCCCTTTATTTTTGTAGGCTACTGGGTCTGAAAGGGAGCTGAGGATGCGATGTTAATTGATGTTACTACGCGGATGCAGTTTCGGTTACAATAGATCTGGTTTCCGTAGCATCCTGGACGCCTTTAGCCACCAGCAGATTGGATCACACACAGTGCATTTGTTATGTTGCTATGTTGGCTGCGACGTGATTAATGCGATGGGCAGCCAAAATAAAAGGCAGTAGCCCGCGATGCTGGCTCAACAAAGATGAGGACTAAAGGCTGCATGTCTGATCAGAAGGAAACCATTTTTCACCCCCACGGCAGCGTTGAACTTCATCAGTAATTCCTGCGAGGGGCTACGTGTGTCTCCGGCGTTTGGCACGGGTATGCCCAGGCGAAACATCGATTCATTCACCTACCTTTCCCCCTCTCAGACGCGTGCCATATTCCGCTCCTGCGTCCCGGCGCGGTGGTTTCGGTGGTGCTGAGGCGCGTCCGTGCCGCACTGACAGGGCAGCTCCCTCACACGGTCCTGCCCATTGTGGTTCAGCAGCACCACGGAGGGAGGCAGCATGGAGGTACAGCACATCTCCAGTGCACTGGAATAGGTGTTTTCTACAGGAGCCCACACGGGGTCGTCCTTTGCGACAGATTCCAAACAAGCAGCAGCGGGGAGGTGCTGAGAGTTAAACATTGAAAATCACCCTCCAAAAAGCTGTTTTTCGTGGACGTTTGAGCGATCACTGCGCAGATCGGGGAACACAGTTTGGGGGCCAATGTGGTCTTTCTGAAATGTGCATATCCATAGAAGCAGAACGAGTGGACGTCGTTTGTTTTAGTTTGCAGTTATTCTTTGAACCTGCTTTTCTGAAAAAAAAAAACAACTCAATAATAAAAGAAGCATTGAGCGATATCATACATAATTGTAGCCGCATGCACATATGGTGAAAGTGCACTTAAGCGCCTACTGAATGGCATATATTTTGAAATGATGGTAATACAATTTGGGAAAATTCAATAACTGCAAATAAAGCACAAACAAAGCACATAGCCATAACTTTAAATAGCATCAGAACAGCAACAACTGCTTCTACACTTATCTTTGGTGGTAATTACAGGTGGGTAAACAAGCCCTTATGATTGCTGTTCAAAGGAATGTTATCTTTAAATTATCCATCCATCTTCAAACCGCTTATCCTGCACACAGGGTCGCATGGGGGCTGGAGTCTATAACAGCCAACTTCAGGCGACAGACGGGGTACATTCTGGACTGGTCAGAGACATACAACCATTCACACTCACATCCGCACACCTACAGGCAATTTAGAGTCACTGATCAACCTGATCCCCTGTGCATGTCTTTGGACTGTGGGAGGAAGCCGGACTACCCGGAGAGAACCCACGCAGACCTCTTTAAAATATATCCACCAATATTAAATATTAACGTTTAACAGTTCAGATCTCCATCAAAGGGCAGTGCAGCTCCTTCCAAACAAAGTATGTGTCTCGTATCGGAGCTGCATGCAGACTAAAATAGCTTACAGTTCTTTTAACCACATAATCAAAAACTACACAATATGATAAATGTACAGCGTCCACTGCCTTATTCATCATAGAATCTGGTCTTGAGCTTTGCCCGTGCTCTTCTCCTCCCAACATACCTTTTGTATCCAGTGTGTAGACCCAATGTGTAGTGTGTGTACTGTGCAGCGTCCGTACAAAGGGATGTCAGTCTTACTGCTGGAGTGGACATGAACAATACCTCAGGGCCCTCAGGGCCACATTACACCACAGAGACTCGCATAAAGGGACGAGAGAAGGAGCGCGGGCGGCGTGCGACTAATGGAGAGAAAAATTCAAAGGAAGGCGCAAGAATTTGTATCCACTGCCTGATCTGATAAAGAAATATAAAAGCCATATTTGGGGAATCTGTAAAGCCAGTACATGATGTAAATAACACACAGAACAACCTAAATTACAGTTTGAAGGACTGTTTTGAGTTTGATATTTTCTAAAATTACAAAATAATATCCCACAACAGTGAGCAAAAAAGATGCAACTTCTTTCTCTCTTCTTGTCTCGGTACATTCATTTTACGCAATCATTTGTATGTATATCCATTTGTGTGTGTGTGTGTGTGTGTGTGTGTGTGTGTGTGTATCCGCAGGGAGGAAGGAGATGGGTGGCTGTAATATGGTCTGCCCCATCCGGACGGGGAGGAGGAACACCTTGCGTAGGTTCTCTGTATGGATTTATCTCAAATGAGTAAAAAAAAGCTTCAGAAGACACGTTGTAAAATGAAATCTAATAGCAAGGCCTTCAAATAACAAAATGGTGGGTTCCGAAATATTGTAAGAATACTTAGATGACGCATAGAAAAGGGTTTTATTTTTATTTTTCAAGCTGTCCCAGTTTAAGGACTCAGTTTCCACTGCAACTGAATCACACATAAAGACACAACGCAGACGCCCAGTAGAACATGTTCTGTGTAGATGAATAAATATATTTACAAATAGAACAGTCACGTAACTGGCAGCAAATATATGGTGAAGCATGTTTTAGTTTAGTGTAGTTTGACTACACAAATATAATATTTATATATATTCAAAATATATAAATTCTTTTCATCCATGTTCATCGCGATTAAAAAAGGCCCTTATTATCTCCCATGACGAAATATGAAATGGAAAAAAGTAATGTGATGTTCCCACCATCTAGATACATAACAGTCTGCAGTGTGCCATGACGACCATGACCCCGAGGCATTCCTAAGAATCTACAGTCATCAACATCCAGGAGTCGTTCATCTGTGGTGTCAAACATCCTGCATCCTCCTCATTGCTCCTCCCCAGCATCCAGCACGTGCCTGAGGTAGGAGATGTAACAGATCGCGAGTCGCAGGATCTCAATCTTGGACAGCCTCTCGTCTGGTGGGAGGTTCGGGAGCAGCTTTCTCAGTTGTGCGAAGGCCACGTTGAAGGCCACCACGCGTACGCGCTCCCTGGTGGCGTGCGCAGATCGGTACTTAGCCGTCGCACGCCTCCGCCGCCTCTTCTCCTCCCTGCTAAGAGCGGGGACGCACACGGGGCGCACCTTGCCCCGACCCGCCTCGAGTTTGGCGGGCACGGACCCACGGCAGGGCACGTCGGAAGGGTCCGGTTGTACCAAGGGCCGGCCGGACTCGGGCTGGCGAGGAGAGAGCATCACGCTTCTGTCCTCAGAACGGGAGGATCCTGCAAAAAACAAAGTGTAAAATCAGTAGAAATTACAGCTGGAGATGACAGGATGTTGTTCTATTTAAAGGGCTGATACAATGGTCAGATATCAGGCATACGAGGGAGAGTTACATTAATTCTTTTTTTCCACATGTGCCACTTTGTGGCACTAATTTATTTGACTATTTCCTTTTCCTGGCACCTTATATACGTCCAATCCACTACAATTCAAAAACAAACATTGATTCAGATGAACTACACACTAATCAATAACATTTTATTACTCTTATATTGTAATATTGAAATTGTAAAACCTGGCTAGAGTTACGGGACAAAGGTCTCCGAAACACCAGGGACTCAAGTTGTGGATCGCTGTCCGAGGTGCTGAAACAGTGTAAAGACACAATCATATGCGACTTATAAATCCAATTAGTAAGATCATTATCATTTAATCCATATATTATTATATTGTACCCTGTCTCTCGCCGGATGTTGGCTGGGATTGACTCCAGCCCCCCGTGACCCTGTATGAAGGGTAAGCGGCTTTGAAGATGACATGTGTTTATGTGTGTAATGTACTTTACGGACAGTGAAAATGGATAGATTCTTCAACACGTATGCGATGTCTCGTTGTATCCCATAATGATCTAGCTTGTAACCAACTGACTCAGCTCAAACCTCTGGAACTGTGCTGCAGAGAAAAGGTTTTGTTGAAGTGCAAGATACGTGCATGCCATTTTAACTCACCTTATACATTAAAAATCCACAGAGATAAGTGATTCAAAAGTCATGATAAAGCAGCATCCCCATTTCAATTCGAAGTCAGCGCAGCAGCATCACGCAGTTATCCCTCCACCAGCCCTGTGCTGTTTCTCCTAATTCTTTTCACATGTTCAGTCAAGTGAAAATGCTGGTGACAGTACGTTGGTCCCTCTTGTCCTGTTATATTATCAGCCGCAGAACACATCCTTTGGCAAAAACGACTGCGCGTTTCTCCCATCCAACCGCTTTAGGTTGTGAGCAAGATAGCACATCCTCAGCTCCCATTTACACATCAAAAAACTGGAGCGAAGTGACGACACAGACGGACGATGACTGAGGATGTTTGTTGTGCAACCTCCAGCTTTCAGTTTCAGATTTCGTCCCCGTTCCGACGCACGCACGATTAGTTTTGGTTGAGAAGCGTCACGTTTCCTTTGAAAGGTTAAAACCTTGTGAACTTATTATCAGCCTTGTTGTCAATGAACATGAATGTATTATAATCTACTAATCTACTTCCTGTTAGTGTGAAGTGAATTTAGCCCGTCTATCTAAATAGGAAAAAGGGTTAGTTGGTCTCATCGCTAAAATAAATCTATCTATACAAACACAGTAAAACAATGACAGCTCATGGTCTCTTGTGTGAGAATAACTACTGTGTGGTATCTGCAAAGCCTTAGCTTGTGGTGAGAGTTTTAGAATCCCATTGATATATTGGTCATAAGGTGTTGATTTCACCAGGGCTCATGCTTTGCCACTTGCGGTACTTTAATGGTTCCAGTGGTGACGGGGTGGCTGTTTTTACAGGAGGAGGGTGAGAGTATGAGGTCTGCACATAAAAACAGCTCATGCGTGCAACCAAGAAAATGGACTCTGAATTGAAAGAAGGCAACACAGTCTAGTGCTTGTTAGTGCAAAGGATGTCTGCGCTACAGAATAATAAATCCTGAAGCTGTTGGTCAGTTTTCACTTGTACGCTGTGACCGAGGTTCTGGCAGTTTGTTTTTGGTCTTTTTATCTCTTGGAGGAATACGGTAATCAGGATAATTATCTCTGAAAATAGTTGTTAGTATTTTACAATGTGATGTGGTGGTGGAAAACGTTAGTTAGGTTGGGGATGCACAGGAGAGAGTGAAGTTGTTAAGGATTCTTTTGAATTTACAACAAAAAACCTTCTTTTAATAATAAAGTATTTGAAAAGTAATGGAACATTTTTCCAACAACAAACAATTATTTACATGGTTCAGTATTTTGGTAAAAAAAATTCCAAAGGTTGTGCAAGGAAAATGCTTATTTAAATATGTAACTTGAGGTAAAATGAATTACACCATTTTTAAAGAACCTTTAGTTTAGTTTAATCAATTTAATTTGGCTCACAGCTGGTCTATTTTTTATAGGGAAGCATACATCTCTAAATAAAAATGTATAATAATACAGCAAATGAAAGATTAATAAATATAGACATGTTTAAATATAGATGTTCTTTCAATTTTAAGGGAGTTCTATTTTACTGTCACGGTGTGGTTCACTTCCTGTCTTATTTTGTAGTTTTCTGCCACTCATGTCCCCGGGTAACTTCACTTCCTGCCTTGTCTGTCGTGCCCTGTGATCGTCTGATTGTTTCCACCTGTGTCCAATCACCTGCACCTCCCTAGTGTATTTAAGCCGTGTGTCTCTTGTCGCTTGTCACGTCATTGTCGAAAGTTCTGGATGTCTCTCGTTCCTGCCTGTCTTTTTTCCCCCCTGTTACCTGTATGCGTTTTTGCCCCTTGCCCATTTTGTGTTGGAGTTTATGACTATTAAAGTCTTTTGCTTTAAACTCTGCATTTGAGTCCTGCCTCCCACACACCCGTGACACTTCCCCCAATTCCATGAGACAAACATTCCTTAGGGGCAGAACTGTTTCATCGGAGTTCTTTCAGTTGTAGTCACACTTTTCCTCCGACCACATGTACAATGCACCTTGAGATCTTTACGCTAGGCCTGATGTTGCATAAAAGGTTTGTCCCAGGCTCAGTTATTTTTTATTCAGTAATAACCCACTAACAACCCAAAAAAATGGATCTATACAAGTGACAGACTATGCCTTTTTAGCACATTTAGTAACCAAATTACCATTACACTAAAAACAAAGTAACATAAAGCTCCTCTCCTGGTAGGGATTGTGATCCAATAATACTCCTCTATTGTCTGCGTCCAGTACTACTTTAGAATAATTACAAACAGTTATTACACCTTCAAGTTGAAACTTTAATTAAACATTGAACAATAGTGCACATACCCCGCCAATGTCATGAGAAATTGTTTCTTTATACGTCGCTTTTGCCTTTAATTGAGTAATAGAACAGGATTTATTTCTTTCACTTTAACTTGTAATGATGAATTCACCATTAGGTGTTGATGAGAGGAAAGTAAAAGTTTCAGGCGATGTCTCTGTTAACCTACTACTGTCAACATCATAATGGTGAGAGGGATATTTTCTATAAAATAATAATAAAGATAATCTCGTTTAAAACCCCCAATGAAGGATGGAGTCCGGTGTGTGTTAAATTACTGGGTTATAACCGGAGAAGGTGCTTGGTATGTGTCACAGAGACTAATCAAGGTCTCTGCAAGACCTTCCCTTAACTGATGAACAACTTGATTCACTTTGAATTTGTAACCCTGTCTGAGCTGCACCCAAAGTATCAGTAAACCCTGGTTCTCTGCTTACTTTAGGTCCTTCGATTGATTAGATCAGTGACATTAATCTGTTAAAGGCTGCAGTTTGGATGTTTTACAATGATTCTGTTCTGCCAACATTCATGAATCACCATCTGGAAACCATTACTTACTTCACCCCTCAAGCTCCGGCAGATATTCACAAAGTCATAAAACCATGAACAGCATCAAATCTCTCTACTGGAAAATATACTGGCCACTGTCAAAGTAGAAGGACAAATTATGTATATTGGAGTATGAAAATTCATTGATTTTCAACAGGCTCCTCAGTGCAGATGGAAAAGAAGACACACAGCTTCTAGCCCATTGCCACCTTGCCTCTTTTTATTGACATATTGCAGGTTAACCAAGCACTGCACCTAAAGTTCAGTATTGTGTTAAATAAACATCTCATTCTACATTCTATTTTAGGTTTTGTGCATCAGCTGCTTGTGAAAATAAAGACATCATGATGAAAATGGATACTGGATCAGATGTGGTATTGTTTCAACTGAAATTCTTTGTGTGAAAAGAACTCTCACCAGATGAAGAGCAAAAAAAGAGAAGATGGACCATACTTACTTTTGATTAAGCCCTGTCTTTATCCAGCAAGAAATGTCAAAGATGCCAGGCTTTGTTAAAAAGGATAGCCTGGCGTCAGGCCCTCTTGACCGCTTAGGCCCATGAGAGGACAGTTTGGTAATCCCTCCGTGCATGGTGAGCATTATCATTCTCATTGTTACAACAGACAATGCATTCTTTTACTTTTGTAAGCATCTATTTACTGTTATTAGGTATTCTAATGCATAGAGACACACATGCCTCTCACTTCAATATAAAGTAACTTTGTTTTCTCACATTGGCCATATGATGGCAGTGGAGGCCACATTTATAAATAATTTTCCAGCATTAATCCCAGTTACACGAAAGCTAAAAGCTTCTATTTAAATGTATCGTTTTTGTTGCCCCCCATGTACCCCAGAGATATATGGTTGTGCTGTTGTCTAACAGAGCTCCTTATAATAGGCAATGAGATTTTTACATACTGTACAGCCAGACATACACGCTCTAAAATATCCTTACGGCATATATAGAGACTGACAAACTCTCTTCCTGTGTAGGCTGAAATGGTATAAACACATGATGTTTACTGATGATGAATGTCTACAAGTAATATAAGACATTTTTCTGTTTAAAAACTGGCTAACTCTAGCTGGTTTAGCTCGTTTCACTGCTAAAATTCTGATAAAAAAATAAATATTATTGTCTTTTTGGAATAAATGAGCTCCATTCCCCGTTTAAAAATGTTGTTCAGGCTCAGTAAAAATATGTTGGTTGATTGAAGCGAGCTCTGAGAGACGCCAGGTGATTGGTTAATGACCTTGATTGCTGATTGACAGCATGTGTCCTGTGGTGTATAAAACAGCATATTGACTGTTGCTCCACACTGATCTGCTCTCTCTTTCAACACACAAGCTGTCTGTGAAGCTCAGCAGTAGACGTCTACTTTCAGAATGGGTGAGCTATAAATGATGTGTTTAGGATTTCA